GGCCGGCTGAGAAGACCGGGGGGGGGGCACACGCATGCGCGCTGCAGTGGCACCCGATGGCTGGGGGGGGCTGTTAAAGAGCCGGACACGCTGGGCCGCGCTCTTAAAGGGGACGCGCCTTACGCCGGTCTCTTAAAGGGCCAGCGCACCTCGTACTGACGTCTTAAAGGGCCAGCGCGCCTGGGGCTAAGCTCGGAAGGGGCCGCCCCTCCAGCAGCAGCGGCCGGGCTCCCCGCCGTGGCCCGGGCCCGGGCGAAGCTGGGTGGGCAGGAGGAGTCACCCTGCTGAGGCCACGAACCTGGTGGTGAGGTGGAGGCGAGAGCCCAGCTTTGGGCCTCGACCAGCCTGGGGTGCTCGCGGCGATGGATTCGGGGCTCGTCCCCTTCCCGCGGCGTCGCCCAGGGCTCTGCGGGATGCTCCTGTCCGCACCCAACTCCGCATCCGTTGACCTTGACGCCATGTCCACGGGTGGAGCGGACCCGAGACCCAAACGCCGTCCCGCCAGCAAGGCCCTGGTGCGAGGGACGGCTGCTGGGTGCGCATCGATGAAGGACTCTCATCCTCAGAAACTTCCCTGAGTGTCCTTAATCGTTTTGGGTTTGTGTTTTGGGGTTTTTTTTCTGATTGAAATTTCCGTTTGGAAATCAACCAAAAGTCTGATTCACCTGGGAGCAAATCGCCACTTGGGAATACCGAGGTGGTAAACAGGCAGTTAAGTGCAGTAGTTGGAAGGTGGCTGTGAGAAAGCATTTCCCAGATACTGCTCTGCCGACAGTACCAGTTTGTTTTTTAAATTAATGAGAGCATATATCATGCCGTCCCTGGCCTGTGGCTGTTGGCAGCTGGTTGGGCTGATGGACGGGGATGCCAGCTCAGTGCATAATCTGTTTTCTAAAAGCAAATTGGAATATTAAAAATTCATTCCTCCCCTTGGCTTGCGCCTGCTCTCGGCATTTTAAATAATGGGGTGATTGACTCCATGTTCAGCTTGGGGAGGATGTTTCGTTCTGCTGACTGTTGCCGCAGCATCGATCATACCTTGCTGGCATCCGTCTGCGGGTGCAGCGTCCTCCTGATGGCTCCCAGCCCCATGGGGCAGTCACGGCCCATAGCTGCTGGGGGTTGTCCTGGGGCACAGCATTGCCTGTAAACCCTGACCTTGGCGGGGATCAGCCCGATTCTCTCTTAGTCATCACATCTAGGGACAAACGCGAGAAGTACAGGGAAGGCCTGGTGGGGGTTTCACACTGAACCTGCTCGGGGATGGTTGTCTCGAGGCGGGCGAGGGCTGCCCAGGGAGGGCAGTGCTGTGCCTGCACAGCCCCAGCTCTCCACTGAGGGCTCCGTTTTGTGGGTTGGTGAAATTCATTTTGGCCACGGCTGTGTGATGGGTAACCCCAACCTATCCCTGCATGTTGGGAGCTCAGCAAGAGCAGTCATGAGCAGAGAGGGAGTTTAATGGGAGCAGGTCTTCCAGGGCTGGTTGGTTCAGGTTTGGATCTAAGGGTTTTGGGGCTGCCAGACGTGTTGCCGCTGAGTGAGGGTGGTCTCCCCCATGGCACTGATGTAACCTGTTCCCTCCAGGGGCTGATGCATGATGGCCCACAGCCAGTCTCGGAAGCGATCGCGAAGCAGGAGCAAAAGCAAGTCTTGGAGCAGACAGGAGAGGAAGGAGAAGAAAAGGAGGAAAAGCAGCAAGGACTCACACCGGGGCAGCAGGTCTCCTCCAAGGAAGCGGACCTCTGGGTCTCACAGACACAAGTCGAGTTCAGCGGCAGCTAGGGAAGGTAGGGGAAAGGCCTGCGACCCCGCACTTTCACCGCATTTTCCTGGGGCAGGTGTACAGAGGGGGCCCAGGTGGGAGAAGGGGGTCCCTGCTTTTAGCTAAATCGGTGTCTGTCGCCTTGCCATGCACTTTGTGCCCATTTTGGTCTCATTCTGACAAGTGTGGAGCCCTACGGCCCCTCTGCATGATGGTCTGGCAACGCGGCACTTCACACTGTGATGTGTTAAAGGTGTTGGCACAGAGGGGTCTTTGCCCCAATATTTTGGGGCTTTGCTGTTCAGGCAGGAAAGAAACCAGGCTGGGAGGGGGGTAACCAGCATCCCTGCTGCCCTGGGGCCAGATCTGCTCCACTCAACCTCTTCTTATGTGTTGCAGAAAAGAAGAAGGAAAGAAAGGATAAGAAGAAGAGGAAGGCAAGTACCTCTTCCTCTGAGACAGCATCTTCATCCACCGGCTCCTCCTCGTGTTCCTCTTCTTCCAGCTCCTCTTCTGATGACTCCAGTGACAGTGACTCCAAAACAAAGAAGAAGCGACATAGCAAAAAAAAGCGAGCAAAACCAAAAGACAAAAACAAGAAGAAGAAGAAGAGAATGAAGAAGAAATCAAAAAAGAAGTCAAAGGAAAGGGCTAAGGAGGAGAAAGCCAAGGGAGAAGCGGTGCCTGGCCCCTCGCTGGAGCAGTGGCAGAAGGAGTCACTGGTGGACTCTGGACCAGGTAACAATGGTGTTTCCCTGCTGCTGAAGCCAGGGCACACAAGTGTCATGCTGGGGAAAGATGCTTGCATGTCCCCCTTCCTGGGACCCAAGCAAGGTGTCTGAGGGAATCGGGGCTGTGCACAGAGAGGAGCTCCTGACACTCTTCCCTCCTACATACAGTGACTGCCTTTGAGCCACACCAAGTAAACACAAGAAGCCACATTCAGAGATTCATTTGTGAAGTGTTTAGATGTAGTTCATAGACGTGAGCAGGGAACAAAGGTGCCAAATGGAAGGACACAGTCAGCAGTAACACACTGGCAAAGCTAGTACTGGCTTTGGGACATGAAGTGGCCCTTGCTTTGTGTGGTTCATCACTGAACCCCAAGTACCGCCAGGAAACTGGTGCGGCATGCGTGTCTGTTCATGTCAGGCATGGTGCTATGTCCCTTGGCCAGGAGCTGGCCCCATGAGCATGGCTCTGACTAACTGATGCATTTCAGTTTTGACAGATGAACAAAAATCCCGAATCCAGGCTATGAAGCCAATGACAAAGGAAGAATGGGATGCAAGGCAGAGTGTCATAAGGAGAGTCGTGGATCCTGAAACGGGGAGAACAAGGTATGATCCCTGGGGAAAAGGGAGGCAGGTTGTCCATCCCCATCCATGTTGTATGGGTTGGAGTCCTGTAGGATGCCTGTCTATGGCACTGCGGTATCATGTATGGACCCAGGTCCCCTTCAGGAGCAAAGGCCTGAGCCGATCCATTGCAGATCCCCTCCTGTCAGACCTGGTGTAACTTACCTAGAAAGTGACATGTTTGACACCAAATTATCGAATTGTGCTGGGGCTCCATGCAAGGGGCACTGGGCTGCGTCCCAGCCAGGAGCTGTGGGACACAGACACCAGAGCACCCTGCTGCTGGAGGCAGAAGGTTTGTTCCTTGTGCTGTGAAGAGTTTGGTTTCATCCATTAAATGGGACTCTGCAACCTGGGGCAGGACAGGAACCAGAGGGGTGACTGACACCTCCTCACCCCACTGCTTCATGCACTTGCGTTTCAGCTCTGAAGCACTCAGCCCTGCTTAGCACCTGGGTGCAAGTGAGGAGGCAGTGTGTGCCCCTTAGGGTTACAGCCAACAATCAAACCAAAGTTCGTTTAGCTGCCAAATAGAAATGACCCAGTTTTTAATAAACTGCATCTTCTCAGCAAGCAGAAAACATCATGCTGAAGAGAATTGGGTATGACAAGCCCAGTCTTAAAATAGAAGGCAGCCTGCGGGGCTCAGGGAGGTGTGGAACAAAGGTCGGTTCCCTGTAAGGCACGTAATGAAGACAATTAAATTTCTGTTCATGTTTGGAGGTGTGAGCTGCCTCCGATACTGCTTGGAATTTGCTCAGCAAGATGCTCCCCAGTCTGGCTGCCTTTCAGGCCCAAACCGGCTCCTGTTTCTGAATGGCTTTGCAGTTTCCTGGGGCAGCCAGGACCAGACCTGAACTCTGTGTGAAAAAAGAAAGAGGTTTTTGCAGGGGTTGGGGCCACTGCTGTTGACAGCAAAGCCTGCGGATGGTGGGGTGGCAGGAGATGCTTTTATTATGAGTGTTTTCTCCCGCTGTGTGCAAGCATGACTGGCTCTGCACACAGCCTGGGGCAGGGATGGCTGGCCCATGCAGGGGGATGCTGATTTCTCAGGGGACCACACCTGTCCTTGCTGTGGCATGCTGACATTAATCCCACAAGAGCAGTGGAAAACCTGCTGTGCTATTTAAGCTTGATAAGGCCAAAAAAAGGTCACATAATGCAACCTCACAGATAGGTCGTCACTGGTCTTGCCTAGAGGTGCATCAGCCCAGCAAGTACAGCTGTGAGGGAGCTGGTGGCTGCGTGCCTGAGCTGGGGCACAACAGCAGCTCTTGGGGTGGCGGCTGGGGGGGCCATTGCCTTCTGTGGCTGAGGAACAGCATGGCTTGTGGGAATTTGCCAGTAGCCCTCACGGCTTGTGGGCCTGTCCTTGTCTTCTAGGCTTATTAAAGGAGACGGCGAAGTACTGGAAGAAATTGTCAGCAAGGAGAGACACAAGGAGATTAACAAGGTAGTGGGGACTTGCTACCAGCACGAGCTGCCGGTGGGTAGGTGGGCGCAGCCGGGGAGCTGCTGCACCCAGAGGTGTTACCTCCCTGGGGACCCCACTGACTCTACTGGGGCAAACTGAGCCCTGGCAGCTCCACAGGAGCCCCTGGGGGTGGGTGCTGGTGGTCCTTCATCCTTGGGCAGGCAATGCTGTGAGCACCTGTGTCTCTCCCTTTGCAGCAAGCCACCCGGGGGGATGGGCTGGCCTTCCAGGTGAGGACAGGGATGCTGCCATGAGCACGCAGGCGCCAGCCATGCCGGAAGCCTGTCCTGCTGCTGGTGCCAGTGCAGGCACAAGCCCCTGTCTCTGGACGATGCAGACAGCACCACATCAAGATGCTTCCCCAGGGGCAGTTTCCAGCCATTCTGTAAGTTACTGACTGGGAAGGAAAGTGACTTTAACAGTTCATCGCCCAGTAAACAGCTTCTCCCCCCCCTCTCCTGACCTGAGCCAGTGTGGCTGTAACGCATTTAGAGCTACTTGCCCCGATGCCCCTTTCAAGGCTGGAGGAGGTCAGCAGCACCCAGGGCACAGGCTTGCTGGTGCTGAGCACCTAGAGGTGCTGCTGTCCCTCAGCTCTGGGCTTTGGTGGGCAGGAGCCAGCGCGGCACCAAGACAGGGTATGTGCTGGGGCTGCAAAATATGCAGCTGGCTGCCACTTCCTTCCCTTCAGGGGCTGCTCTTGGCCCCTTCCTTGCTGGATCTGCATGCCCCATGCTTACCTGGTGCTGCGGGCTCACAGGCCCTTTGCACTCGCCCACCCCGCTGAAAGAGGAGCAACTGTGCTGCTGCATGGCTCTGCTCAGGCTGCAGCTGTCCTCTGCACCTTCAAGTGCCACCCTCCACTGCGCCTCAGGAGCTTTACTCAGCCTTTCGGCAGCTTCATCTCATCGGGTGGTGCTGGGGGGACCGCTGACCTGGCATGCCTTGCTGGGGTGTGGGCAGGCATGCTTTGCAGAGGGGTGGCTTTGCCTTGCTGTCTGTTCCTGCATGCGACTTGTGTCCCTTCCCTATGGCGCAGGCCCCAGGCAGCATTAGGGCTCTGGGCTTCTCAGGGCCTGTGCCTATGGCCGCTGTGAAGCAAACAGCTCGCCTTTTCCCCACTGCAAAGTCCATAAATCTACAAACTGTTAAAAAAAACCAAAAGAAATGACAAATGTATTAAAGGACAAATGGGTTCTGCAGGACTGATCTGCATGGAGGGTTTCCACATTCTGTTCATCGCTGTAACCCCATTAAACTGGCGCCTGCTCACATCTTGGGTTTTGCAACTTGTCTGTTTCTAGAGTCTCCAAAAAAAAAAGCAGACAGAGAAGAGCCTTCCCATTTCTTTAATCTGTGTAACTCACAATGATACTGTACACAAAGCACACCCAGGCATTGGAACGATGCACTAACAGCAAGGAGGAGAAGGAAGTTGTACAGAAGGTTTGTCACACACAAGCGAGTCATCGGCACGGTACTGTACACACAGGGGCGTACCCAGCGCGGCTGCCGGCGCCCTCGGGCATGCCCTCCAGTGGTTCCCCACACACACGTCTGTTACCCCTAAAGCAATTTTTTATAAATAAAATATAACTAACATCGTTGGAATATAAAATTGACAGTCGAGGGTATCAACAGGCAGAGGGTGCTGAGGACAGGGAGGGGACCGTAAGGCTTCTAGAACTAATAGGAAATGCAGCAAACGGTGGCGATACCTGAAGAAGGGGCTGCTACAGCAAGCACGGCGGCTGCTGGGCGGAGCGGGAGTTTGTTAGTAACCCTTTGGCTAGTTACTGCTCTCGGCTCGCGTGTCGGACACTGTAAACGTTTTTGGTATTAGAATTTCGCCTCATCTGACTGAGTGATCTGGCAAACCCAGGAAAACAACTCGGAGGGAATGCATGGGCTCCTCTTTTTATTTTTAAAAGACTTTAAAGGGACAGCGTCAGGTAGAAAGTCTGGCCCAATAGTGCAGTAATACAAAAAGCTGCTTTTTATAAAAAATCTGAGCTCCACAGCAGAGTTTGATTCCCATGGAAACAATTAAAAAAAACCAAAACAAAAAAGACTGAGGCAGCCTGTGCAGCGCGGGCTGCATTGTGCTAGTGTGCGAGAACAGGACGTGGGCTGCAGCAGAAGCAGCGCAACTGTCGCCGGTCGCGCCGATGGCTGCCCAGACAACTGCGATAGGGAGGAGTACAAGAAACTTCGTATTCTTTCGTTTCGAAGCAACAAGTTATTTGTAACAAAGATAAATTAGGTCTGTAACCTGACAGTGCCCCTTTAGTAAGGATGGAATATACATTCATCTTTCCCTCACTGCATCCAGACAGATCCTCTTCCATACATGTGGAAAGGCATCAGGTCACATGCATTGCTCTCCAAAACAGCTCGGAACAAACAGGTTATAAACACAGAGTTAAACTATTGCTATTGTTCTTTGAGTGAGTAGCACGTTGATCTTTGCTTCAGAGAGATGAGTGCCAGATGGGGGCGGCTGAGGATAGATTGATGTAGACTATGATGGACTGAATCGGTGGAGAAAAACTTATTGGCATATTTCCTGGTAACTACACCCACCTCATCTGATATTATTGCAGCAATAAAGGTCCTGCTCTACAATTGCTTCTCCGTGTTGGATCTGTACAACGGCAACAGATGGGGGGCCAGGGAAAGGACCCAGGCAAGTTTCAAGAAGCTCAACAAAGGATGAGGACGGAGGTGCTATGATTGTCAGTCTAACTGGTTAGTAGCTGTTTAAAACATGAAGTGATGGAGAGGTGAGTATAATATTGCACTTCTGCATTCATTGACAGTTACATTAAACTTGGTCCATAAAATAATTGCTTTGTACATAATGCCTGAAACAAAAAGCTACATTTTAAAATATTAATAAACCCTGAAGGTTCCAGTCCCTCCAGACATTTTTTTTCCTCTACATAAATAAATAACTTTCAATTTTATATATCCACTTTTTATGTTGAACATTTACATTCGTCTCTGTTTTACACTATCTACACATAAGAAAATGTGAACATCTTGTCAGCATTGGAAAATGTACAGATCATGCCTTGGTTGTGGACTTGGAGGAAAGTTGAATTTTGCAAAGGCCATATCCAAATTTGCAGAAATTATTTTGTGATGTGGTTTGGTGACTTCACAGGATGGATTGTGGCTTGGCTTCCTACTCAGATGGCATCTGTTTGATACAACATTCGACTAGCGAAAAGCTGGGACAATTCACATTGTTTTTAAACCCAGTAAGCTCTGGATGTACATTCAGAGAGCTAAGCTGAGTCGGCAGAAAGGGAAGTCAGTTTTCGGTAACAAAAGTCATCAGATACATTCTGTAATTGAACAATTATCAAAGAGAAGTGGTTAAACATTTTGCGGTCAGGCTGCAAGATGTGGGAGATGCACTGGGTGGTGGGCGGGCAGTCGGGTTTGAGTGCTCCACAGGCTCGGATGCCGTTGGCAGCTCAGCACTATCCCTCCTCTGCCTCCGCTTCGACCCTCCAGCGCCATGAACATATGAGATCTGCCTTGGATGTCTGATGAGTTAGATTTGCCTACCGTGGCCCAGAGCCAATTAGCAGAGCAGCGTTCACAGTGCTGTGTATCTCAGTGCGGCCGTCCTGCACTTCATATTGAAACAGTTAATAAAATGAAGCAGCCAGTCTAAAAAATTCTTCGTTATAAATAAGATCCTCATAAGTAGAAAGTGATATAAAGACAGGAAGGTGTGGTGGGGGAAAGCAGGGTTACACATAGTCAGGGAGCTCAGTAGGACTATAAAATCTCCACGTGAAGAGGCCAACTGGAGTCTGTAAATGGGCACCCCGGATACCCCCGGGGTGGATGCCCCTCCACCCCAGAAGGTGTGTGCAAGGAGGGAACCGGGCCCTTTGTTGGGGCCAGGCTGACCGGGGAGCGACAGGACCAAGGGGCTTTTTGGCAAGCCCTCGCTCTAGGCACTGTTCTCTGCTGCTGCAGAGCGACGCGCTCCCATTCCTGTACCGTGCACCGCGCACGTCTCTGTGTCACTCGGGGTGCCAGCCAGCAGCAAGCACTTCGCCCTGCGTGCTGGCAGCTCCCCTCTGCCACGCACCCAGCCCCAGCTCGCACCAGCAGCACACAAACCATCAGCTCGGGCACATCCACTGAGAAACACACCAGGAAAATTAAGATATGGCCTTTTCTTAAGGTTGCCTGACATTGTTGGCACACTTCCTTACAGTCTCCTTACTGCTGGAAAAACTTCTGCACAGATTTTTTTTTTTTAAATATATACATATATATACGTGTGCGTGCATATGTATATGCATATATGTATATATATACACACACACACCCTGGCTTAGCAATATTTCATTGTCATGCACTACAAACAGTTAGGTGTAGCTACATGAGATGGTAACAGGTTTCCATTCTAAAAATCATCAGTGCAAAAAACAATGAGGTTTTACAGTTCAGTAACTACAGGTAAAAGAAGCGAGTCTAGTTCCCATGAAAGCTGCTACTGAACTTGGAGAGAACCTGGGAAGAAGAAAACGTCTCAGAGGTGGGTGTTGAGAGAGTCAGACCCTGCATTTGGATGAGAAGAACTGCAATGCAATCTAGCTGCTGAGTGCCTTCAGCTGTTTCCAAAGATACGGTGGTTACTTTTGGAAATAATATATAGCGAGAATATTTGGAGACTTTAACAGCAAATTAAGTGTCTGAGGTTTGTAACAGCTCAAACAAAAGAGCTTGTATTCCTCTTTTAATAGGTCAACGCATTAAATTCCATCGGCTTCTAAAAGGTCTCTTTAGAAAATAACAGTAATAACAATAACGACCCCACTTTTTCAGGCGTGAATCTGCCGACGTTCTGCCTCTACCAACAGCATCGATACATCTTTATGCTTTCCCACTGCATGTACTCCTTGAGAAAGTGGCTCAACTTGAAGCTCTTTGTACATGTAAAGCTCTCGGTTGCTCTGCCTGGCACGGTCCATAATAAATCGCTCGCTTGGGGCTGTCTGTGCTGGGGAAACAGCACGCTTATCAAACCCCAAACCCACCCCATGCCGGCACCGGCAGAGCACCTCAGTCTGACGCCTGGGACAACCAAGAACAAGTTTCCCCAGCCTCATCCCTTGTTCCTGTGGCTCTGAGGACAGCACTCGGTCACGCGTATCGGAGCGATGGCTAACAAGGCGAGGAGGCACGTATTTACAGTCACTAAACCTGGATAAAAGAAGGAGGCAGGAGAGAGCACGATCTTGACCTGGAAACTTTCCCCCCCCAATTTCTAGCTGTTCCTTGGGCTCATGCTGCACAAACCTGACGCTCCCGCTGCAAGGCCTGCACATTCTGCATGGGAAACTTCCCATCTCTTCCCAGAATACCATGATGTTATTAGAGTAGCACCATATTTACCCTTCCAGCCTGTAACGCCGGCCTCGTCCCTCTTTCCTTTTGTTTTCTCCTCCGGTGGCTGCAGCTGACAGTTGCTGGCTCTGGTCTGGCTACTTCTGCCCCAAGAGGCCAGACTCCAGCCGGGATGCTGTGCTCCGGCCCCAGCACCCCGTGGCGATGCTCATGCTTCTTTGGCTGCGTTCTCTGTCCCTCTCCTTGTCGCTGTCAGACTGGCTCTGTGTGCGCTCGGGGCGGTGGCCGGCGCTGCCGCTGGTGGCCGAAGGCTGGGAGGAGATGGTCCGCAGCAAGTGATTCCTCTTGCGCAGGAACTCGGTCTGGCTGGGCAGCCCAAAGCTGCCTTTCCGCAGTGCCATGCGCGTGGTGTTCTTAGCCGGGCGTGAGCGATGGTTGTACTCCAGCTGGGCCAGGTGAGCTGCGTACCCCTCAGTGATGAACTGTGAGACAAGAGGGACGAGGGCAGGCGTTAAGAGGGGTGGGACACATTTTCCCGATAGCCGCTGGCAGCCAAACGTGTTTGCTCTGTCAGGTTCTCTGGGGTGACATACAAGACATAGAACCACTCAGACAGATGTGATGGGTCCTGGTATGTACAACAGTTCCTGTCCTCTTGGCAAACACTAGCTCAGTCACCAGTCTTAAGACGACCAAATTCCCATTGCCCTCCCACGGGAGGCCCTTGGCAGCCCCTCCAGGGCTCAGACAAGCTGGCTCCTACCTGACACTGGCTCTGCAGCTTCTTGGTGGGTCGGCCAACGATGTAGATGTGCGTGGGTGGGAGGCTGATGGAGCTGTACACAGAGATGTCCTTAGTAGATCCATATGCCGCATGGATCCTCATGTGGAGCTGCGGGGAGGGAAAGCAACATGCGGTCAGAACGTATGGGTGCCCCATGCTGCTCAACAGGCAGGATTTTTTTTTTTTTTAAATAGCATTTGTGGGAATCTGAGGTCAATAAGTTATGTAAGTTCCCAGCTGGATAATGCACCACTGTGCAAAGCACTAATTAACAGGGCTGGGGATGTTTACAGGCCAGAACAAGAGGAGTAACAGCAATATGAAAGCAGATCTCCGCTTGATGATCCAAAGCCTGTCCTTGAGGTCTGCGGGGGGCAGGGATGCAGCACACTTCACTGCCTACTTGTCACTGGGGGAGAGGAGCTGTTTGCAACCCCCCCGTGCGGTAATCATTAGTGGGGAGCGTTCCTGTCCACCAGCCATGCTGCTGCATGCAATACTGCTTTTTAATTCTGCTGGGCAGAGGGAGAAGGGACAGGCAGCAAAATATGCCGCTCTTCAGGGATTCGTCTGCCTCCACTCCGAGCAGAAAGCAGCTCCTGGCCAACCCTTTCCTTAGTCTGCTGAAGCAGGGGCTGGCAGGGGAGGTGTGGACACTGGTACCACCACAGACCGGCCAGCTTTGCCCCCGGAGCTGCAGGCAGGCCAGGAAGATGGAAAGGAAATCTCTGACTCTGGTCACAAACTTGTTCTTCTGGAGGACAAGGGAGAGCAGGCAGCAAGTACAGGCCAGCTGCTCCTGCCACTGTGACTCAGGCTGAAATGAAAGTCCAAGAGAGTTAACGAGGGGCTTTCTCTGCTATTCAAGGCAGGGCACAAGGGCTTGGGACACTGGCAGTTCCTTCACTTGCCGGACAGAGAAAACCTTGTTTTATCTGGAGCTTTCCTGAGGCTCTGGGCTGAGCAATATTAAGACCTCCATGGGGTCAAATGCTTAGGAACACACTCTCTGGAGTCTCCTGTCAAGGCTGTGTGGTGCAAAGGCATTTCTATAGCAGCTCCATACCCTCTCAGACCTGCTGGTTACACCACAGGCAGCCAGAAAGCCACCAAACAGGTGAAAAAAGTGCACATGTGGCGAAGGGAGGCACTGCTGCTTCTCTTTCATTAGGCATTTGGTCTTGGAAGGACCAGTGATGAAATGGAGCAGTGCAGAGCAGAGATGACAAAATTTAACAGCATAGACACTTTTGTAGAGCAATAAAAGGATGAAAATAAAATGAACAGATTAATCTTCCACTGCGGGTCACATCGCTGCCAAGAGACTGGTGCTGACAGGGGCAATTGGACGAGGAGCAATCTTAACCCATGCTACGATCATATTTCAGCAGACCCACGCTTACGTCTGTGATGAGGGATTTCAGAAAGTTGGCCTTGTGCCGCAGTGGGTCGTGAACAAGCCCATCGCAGAAGGACACGATCCCATGGGGGAAGTTGTGCTGTGCTAACCACGCTACCACCCTCTGCTTCTGCATGTCAGGGCGGCCCGTGACATAGATAATGAGGTAGCCGAGGTCTTGCCAGTGCCTAGAAGGAAAACCACAAGTCAATAGATTGCAGATGTAGAGCAACGCCAGTGTAAAACAAACCGACTGCCCCAGTGCCTGCCGCTGACCTTACAACGTCGACTGCTCCGGCACGGACTTTGGGGTCACTGCCCATGATGGATACACTGGCTGCAAAGGAGCCGTCGATGCTGAACACCACAAACTCTGTCCCCTTCGGCAGGACTGTGATGTAGCTGTCTGCATATGTGTGGTCGCCCCTGAAAGGGATGCAGGTACTTGTAGGCATTAAGGTATTCAGAAGGTATCACCGAGTCCTGCAGTGCACCACAAGCCCAAAGCAGCACCCAAATCTGGCCCAAAGGCTCTAACAGCAATGCCACCCTCAATTACAGCAGTGATGGGCACTGCACGAAGGCCTCTGTGTTAAAGTGGGGATGGAAGTAGTACTCGGTAGCCCTGGTGTCAGTGACTCAAAAAAATACCCCCAGAAAACCATTGCTGGGTTCACCACTGAGAAGATGCTTCTCTCCTCCCCCTTCCAGAGCTCAACACCAGCAGCTGAAGCTGAGCTGGAGCCCCTAGGCTGTGAATTATCACTAGTACAAAGTTCTGTCTCTCAAGGACAAGTTTATGGTCTTTAAAATACACTCAGTTGTGCAGTTTTGCAGACGACCACAAGGCCATACGTCCATGGTGCAGAAGGCCTGCTCCTGCAATGGGAGCTCCATTAGCATGCTGTTGATGATGCAGGAGTCAGAATAAAACGTGGATCTTCTTCTTACAGCTGTAGACTACAAATAGCTTTGTCCTTGTTGCTGGCAAACCAGGCTCTGAACCCAGCCAACAAGCCGAGCTGTCCCACAAGGAGCGACCCTATTCTACAGTCATCAAATTCCTCCTTTGTTCCTCTTGCCAACTAAGCCCTGGGACCCCAAGGGACCTCACCTGACCACCATCTTGACAGGGTACACGCCGATGCCCAGGCGACGGTTCTCGGGGATAACATAAGAAATCCTGCCACTGCTGTTGCTGATCTCTGTGTCAAAGTAAACCCACTCTCCTGATGGCGGCTGGGTCATGATGTGAATGTCCACCTGGGAAGACAGCAAGGCCGGGTCAACAACAGCACTGAAGACACAGACAAACAGAACAGGCCAAGCACTGGGACCTTCCACCCAAGCCCCTTTTGGAGACCAGCAGGGGCTGGGTCCTGCTTCCACCCTCTGCACTTCACCAAGCTGAGAAGCACCCAAACATCAGGATGCTGGAATGAAACCTGGCCTCGGTGGTGAGGACCTCCATGATGAATGCTGTTCCTGGTAGGAGGCACCACACAAGTCTGAGGAAGGGAACCTGGCCAAAACGCAAGGCTAGCAAACCCTCTCAGGGACCAAGGGAGCACCGACCAGCGCTGCCTCTGTCCCTGACCCCCACGCTTTTCACCACATGGTGCACAACCCCCAGAGCAGACACAGTACCTTTTCTCCTGTGAGTGTGACCATATCTAATGGACCGTACATAAACCTTCCAGTTAAAGTCTGGGGCCCATCTTCATTAGCGATGGTGTCGTTTATCCTGTGGTTGGCTGTGACATTCTGTGTAAGTCAAGAGGCAAAGGGAAAAAAGAAAAAGAGGAAAGAAAATTTTAAGTTTGCAGCGATGGACAGCCTCACGGGGAAATGCCAAATGTAACTGGACAAATTGGAGCGTGTGTTTCTCTGTGCCATTCCCCCCCTCCACTCCACGCACAGCTCTCAGCTTTAGAAAAGAATTTGACCTGTGGCAGAGGTGAGACTCTGTGCCCCGCATCGACGGGGTGGATTTGAGTGTACGTGGCTGAAAAGCCAATTTCAATGGCAGTTTGTATGTGCAATTCCAATACTGTCTATTAACTCTTACACTTTCGATTTAAGAGGCGATACAAACGGCTGCCAGATAAATCTGCTAACATTGTTTCAGCTCTAGCAGAGAATTGCCCTCTTTCGGGAATCAGAGACGTTTCCTGGGAGCGAAGGGCATTTACCGAGCAGAGAACTTGCATTATTGGACTTTGAAAGACTTTGGGTCCCTTTCCCTGACCCACAGCCAACGCATTCTGTATTTTCTGTAGACTCAAGGCCAAAAGGAGACCTTGCTGGTACAGATCTTTCAGGTTTCTCTTTCACAACTGCATGGGCAGGATATAATCACTAATATATACCAGCAGTGCAACATGATCGCCTGTCTCTGCCATGGACAGACACAGCTGTGCCCACGCTGGCTGCCTTCAGTGCCATTCTTGCAGCCAAAATTGAAACCCCTCTACATGACAGCACTCCCTCCTGCTGCGGAGGCAGCCCCAAAACTACCCTTACCCGGAGCTTCACGTGTGTCCTCTTGCGGAGCCACTTCTCGCGGGGCTTGGAGGGGGTGAAGACGGACACCTCCTTTCCGTCCAGCTCCAAAACGCTTGAGTTCTCGTGCCTCATCACCTGCGGGAGGACAGATCCCATCGAGACGTCAGCCACTTGCGCAGTGACCCCCCTCCTCCTGCGCCCACGCTGTTCTGCATCTCCCGAGCCAGAGCTGAGTAAGGGCGATGCCTGGACAGAGGTGGGCTGAGTTTGCTTGCTGGGCGTTTGGCTTGTTCAGCTTGCAGGTTTTACAGGCTGCTCCCTTAATTGCAAGGACAAGCAGTCTCTTCTGAACTAGCAAAGCCTGTGGCCAGCGCTGACTTAATCCCAGCTGGGACGCAGGTTATTTAGATTGTCAGGAGGTACAAAACTGACTCAAACACAGCAGGACGAGCTCTGCACTTAGATATCTGCCCTTCCTCCAGGCATTCATTAGTCCCTTCCCATGGTCTGCGAGGGACCGGTCTCCTCCTTTGAACATGAGTTTTCTGCCGTGCTCATAACAGATCCAGCACCAGCTGCTCTGACCGGCCTCATGCCGACAGATGCCGTTCCTTCAGCTCATTTCTTATTTCTATTTAAATACATTTCAGACTGCTCTTGTCCCATGGCTTTTTTTCCTCTCATTGATGTGACCCCAGCGGAGGCAAGCAGGGGTCTGTCTTGGCCATGTGCGAGGCAGAGCCCAGGGTGTGTGTCCATCCTGACCTCATCTCCAAGGTTGACAAGAGCTCAAAGACTTTGTGCTGGTGAGATGTCACCACACCAGTGTGAAGATCTGAGAGGGGGCAAGGTGATGCCCACCAGCCAGCCTTTGGGGGCAATTCCTGCCTGTCACCAGGGCATGGGCAGGGACGGAGAAGCAGGAACCCAGAGACAGGAGGGTTAGATCCTACCTAGATTGCTCTTAAGCTCTAGAAGGGAAAAGGAAGAGTAACACCCAAAGGTGAGGGGACATCTCAAAGACTGCTCTAAGACTGGGAGGTGACCCTGCACAGAGAACTCCCGAACGGGTAGTAGTCCTTAGTGACCCCATCCCACCAAAATTTAAGAAGCCCCTTAAATGTGGGCTCTTTTACAAGGTCTTGAACATATTATGCGTGGTCACCAGCTCTCCAGCTGACCAAGGCTGTAGTGGTCTGACACAGGCCAGCTTGCTTTGCAGAGCTGAAGCTGTTTGTCTTCCAGGGAAATGGAAAAAGGACCCAGGGAGGATGAGCTTGCTGCGGAGGGAGTTCATGGAAATCCAAGGTAAACAAAATAACAAGTTTTACTGAAGATTATTTAAATCAGGAATCTATTTCGAGTCCTATTTGGGCTTGTTTTAACAAGATTTAATCTCTGAAGGCTAAACTATTCAATAGCTTACTTTTACATTTTGTCCAGAAATGACTTTCAAAGGCGATTAGGAACAAGTCCTTATTAGGGGAAGAAGTGGCATGGTGCTCTGGAAGGACAGCAAGAAGACAGGGGATGAGAAAAAACATGGTCTCAAGGCAGAGATGAGTGAGTAGAGACAGGTGCTGGGGAAGGGCGGGGGGGGGGGCAGACTACCGAGGCAGCCCCTGGCAGACTTTGAATGGATGGAGAGGTCCCTCAAGCCACAAGATATGAAGCACCACACTGTGCTACAGACCCAGGTTCGGGCTGAATCCTAAGTAATTAGCTATTTCTTGAGCAGAGCATTCTGTGTATGAGACTGTCGTGCCTGTTCCCACTAATGCACAATTACGGGTCTCTCTCTCTCTTCAGCCCCATGAGGCTGAGTTTGATGCGGGGCTGGGGCTTCACAGCAGCTGATCCAGCAAGGTGTGTGCAAGCACAGAGATGTCCTGCTGGGCTAGGTACAGCCCGGGAAGAAAGGATCTCACTGGATTATCGCTACTGCTCAGCTGCCACCAGCACTGACATCTCTGTTGTTTATGGTTCCCACACTATTTGGAAGATAGCACTGAAAGAAAGTTTGCCAACAGAATCATAAATAATTGAAAGCTGCAGTCAAGGAGGCTGGAAGAGAATGGGGATGGCTTAACAGCTGAGCTAACACAAAGCAAACCCAAGCACCGAAGTGGGCAACACAATCCACAGAGTTGCTTTTAGTTTTGGTTTTTTCCAATTCCATGCTCTAGGTACCATTCCTTAGGAGTTTCGTACTTTGTAAGGCAAGTAACTCCCCCTCATCCCTAAGGAACTGAAGGACAAATATTTCTTTTAGGAAAAACACATTTTAAACAGTAAATTTAAATATCTCAGGCCAAATGTAGGTTCATAGAATCTGAGGTTCCAGACTCCAGACACCAGCAATCCCATTTACCTAGCCAGGAGAACTGCTTTGTACTGGAGGAACGAGGACTAAATCCCAATGTGGTGACGATGGTCTGAGTTCCTAGAGGAGACCACAGTAACTTAGCCAAAATGGAGAACTGAACTCTGCCTATCAACTCATGTCAAATTCGTACAGAACTTCTCCTTTGGTTTTATTGTATTTGGTGCTTTTTTTGTACACTGAGAAGTTTCCTTTAAGTTGCAGACTTGAGATCCAAACTTGCACACACAGGGAAGAACTCACTTCAAGAAACAAGTGCCACTGACTTTTGTCACTGTGATCTGATAGGAAACAGCCCTCGGCTCAGTCCATGGCTCCCTGGTAAGCCCATCTGAAACCCGCTCCAAGGAGAAAACCCACACTCAAACTAACCAGGTGTGACAGCACACGTCTGTGCAGTTTGAATCTGTGCAGCTCTGCTAACAACACAGGTGAGGAACAAAAAGAAGGGGAAGAAAATGGATCTGCAGTGGCAAAGGGTATTTTTTCATCTGTACATGTCAATGAGAGTTATGGAAGGACCACTGAAATAAATAAAGACCCCAAAATATTTTTCAGCCCAAGGGAGATCAGAGGAGGGAGGATGACCATACCTGTCTCAGCAGGAAGGAGACAACGTCTGTGGACTCCCAGTAGCTCGCATGGAAGAGGTGCGGCAAAGCGACCGTTGGGAAAGCTGTCAGAGCATCAGGACAGTAGAGAGCGTAGTCAATCCTTTTGGTTCCCCACCATTTGGCAGCAACTAGAAGCAAAAGACTCGTTCAGACAAAGGGGACTCACATGCACATGCAGTCTCCATCACAAACGGTATTTCAAGGCTCTGGCTCCTCACTCCAGGTACGACAAGAGGTTGGTCCCTGGCTGGTCGCACTGCTAAGAGGGAACAACCGACCCGGGGCTCAGTGTTTGCTCAAACCAAGGGAGGAACACACAGGGGCACCAGCACCTGAGCTCTCCTTTATTTAAGCAAATAGGAAGGCACTAGAGGGCAGGTATTAACTGGCCGTTACTCCAGACCCTGGGGAAGGGGTCCAAAGCTCATACACAATGAGCCTGGGAATCCATGTGCCAAAATGTGACAGAAACACATCTCCCTGGAGCTGTGGGAGGAAGGATGTGTGTGCTCTGCCCACCATAATACATGCCCAGGCCATCTCCATCCCTGCTTCCAACTCCTTTGGCTTTCAATCGAGGAATAGCAGCCAGATATTGGCCACACTAAAGAGGATCTGAATACTGGGAGCCCATGGGAGATGCTAAAAGGCACCACAAGGCAGGGTATATGGCACGTGCCACCAGGATTGGCAGTCCCCAAGTCCTTGTTGCCCTCCCGGGCTACCACATTGCAGGCAACTGAGACGCCCAGCCCAGCCTCCCTGGGAGCACAGCCTCTGCAGTGGCCAACAAGAAAAGTATCTGGGAGAGCCAGGACTTCGTTGCACAGGGGACTGAAAAATACACTGAGATTTTGGGTGGGCAAGGTTACAGACAAGGCAGAAGAGTTTCTCCCTCGGGGAGTCAACAACTCATACACAAGTGTCCAACAGACGCCGCTCACCCATGGGACACCACCACACTTCAACGCTGCCCTGAACTCTGCCCACGCACACATCCTTTCCGACTCCCTAGCAATAAGCACATCTCAGCCCAAAGTCCCAGACCCCAAACGTGTGGGCTGCTTTCCCAGCAGCGAGGAGTCCTCAACCCCCACGCGCTCTGGCCTGGAAAAGCAGCTATGGAAAGAGAAGATGGATCAGATCCAGACAGCAATAGGAGGAGCTGCATTTGCATGCAAGTTACAAGCTGGGACTTTGACAAGGGTTTTCTCAAGCTTGGTTTTTCTCTGTGACAATGTTCCCTTTTTATGGACTTCCAGGAAGGCTGCCAGGTGTAAGCTAAGATCCAACAAACCCCTCTTAAGGGAAATCTAGCTGGTGACGAGCACAGATGCTGAACTGAAAAAATGGACCCACCAGCTCCTTCCAGAGACTTACACAAAGCTCCCGCCACAGCAACATGCAGAGGGTTATGGCATCAGCACATCCCCATGGCCCAGCCCTGGCTGTGCTGAGTGCCCAGGCCACTCTCAACCTAATGGCCCTTGCTTTTCTGAAGAGCCATGGGAAGGAGGAGAAGAGCATTGATGGATCAACATGGCTTTTCCAGAGCACATAGGCACCTCCTCGCAGCCATTTCTGACTCCCTGTCTTCCAAATTGGGAGCTCCTGGTCATGTCCCAACCCTTCATTTCTCATGCAAGTCCCCAGCTCGGGTAATTTCACACTTTGCAGGAAGCAGACAGGATGTACTCTTCCATGCTCAAAAGACAGTGGTGGAGGCAGAAGCATTGTCCCCACAGCTCTGCCCAGAAGAACTCCTGCTCTTGCCAGGTTGTTAGCTGTGTTATGATCAATCTTCGGAGCAAAGTGACAGAAATACTTGTTAAAATGCAATCAGAAATTGCAAGTGCCTCAGTGAAAGCGCAAAGATTTGTTGTGAAGTTCTGCGACTACTGAATGAGAAAGGAGGTCGACCAGAGTGGATCTCTCCAGAATACCTGTCTTGATGTCCAGGTCGGGTATCCGAAGAGCACAGTCTGCAGCCTGACTCCATGGCCCTTTGAGCTTTCTTCCCTTCAAAGGGATTTCATGTTTGTGCTGCCTATGTCTCTTGGATGAGGTCTGGGTAGGGGATTTGTGAGGGAGGGCAAGTTGGGACAGAAGGCTAAACCCTCTACAATGATTAAGGTGGTGTTTGGTTTCTAAAAGGAAAAATAAAATAAAATAAAGCAGAAATCACACTTATTAATATGGCGCACACATGCCGCAGGCAACACCGGTTTCATCCTCCAGAAATTCACAGTGCAAGGGAAGCTGCACCTTAGAGAGGGCTCCCGAGAGGGAGCCATGGTTTTGCAGGACCCCTCTGGACTTCCTCTGGCTCTCCCCGAAGAAGAAACACGGACCGCAACCAACCCTCAATGCCACAGCTTCATATCGCCACCGCGCTAATAAGGTCGAGCGCAAGAGCTGCAAAGCCAGAGCAAGGGCTCAGAGGACACGTTGTCACTCGGGAGGCGAAGGAAGGGGCTGCGACAGCCCTTGGCGCAGGCTGCAGATGGGTCCAGACACGTGCGCACAGCCCACGCCGGGGCCAGACTCTTCCTCTCTGATCTCAGAAACAGGTTTTGATAGCTGTGAAGTGCGTGGAGGAATAAATTACACAAACAAGAAGCTAAGTAATCGGGGAGAGCGCAGGGAAAGCAAAGAGAGGCAAGCGTTGCGTGGGCCTGATCCTGCCGTCGGCTCGCAGAGGCAGGATCCCTCCATCGCGTCATGCGGGCCTTTAGGCATCACCCCGGCGTAAACACTTCATAATGAACAGCCACCGCCCCCCGCTTCCCATCCTGGCTGGCCGAGCTCAGCAGCTCTCCGTGGGTGTGAAACCAGCAGAAAACAAACACCTTCTCCCCCAAGAGCCTCCCTCCCAAGCAGATTAATATTAAGCAAGTGCCTGGCAAGATGTCTTACCAGGACAGATATAAGAACGCACACAGAGAGTGCGGTGTCAGCTCTCGGACGTGCTTTGGGAAAGAAAACCTCTGACAAACCTCTGTTTGTTAGAGGGCAGGTATTTTTTTCCTGCTGCTGAGCGTTGCCTCAAGCAGTGCAAGAAGTTACAGCAGCCCCTGACCAGCGCCCACACACGTTCAGCAACTAACACTTGCCTTGGGGAGCATTATTAACCTCAGCAATTAATTATGAAGTGAGTCGTTCATAGCCCTGTTTGCCACCCTCTGGGACAAGAGTTTGGGCTGAAGGTTTTTTTGGTAGTTTTTTTGGTTTGTTAATTTGTTTTAAAATTTGTATGGTTTTCAGCCTTTTTCGGTCTGAGTTATGAGAGGTCTCTGAGGATGCAGACTGTTAATCTCACACCTCAGCTGAAATGAAGAAGGGGCTGAACTGTTAACAAAGGCTATTGTTCTCCACTGTATTAGCTGGGAAGTTACACAGGTCTTGGGAAAAATAACAAATAAAAAATCCCTTCTGTTCCCCATTCGGCTCTGGACATGGATCGTAACTGGCTGACACTCTGAGCTGTCCCACAGGCTACAGAAGAGCTGAATTTCTAATGCAAAGTAATAAATAACCCAAACCTGTTCTTCCCTTTCAGCATTACAGAGGGGCTTACTCATCCCCATTTTTGTGGGCCACATTTAAGTGATCTGCATCAAGCCACATGCCACATCCTGCATCATCAATCTGGCAGTGCTGATCCCTACCAGTTCTGCACGACTTATCAATGGCAGCACAGAAACATCCGTTTGGATTAACCCTCACCATGCACAGCAGCCAAATGGTGCTCAGAGTTATAAATTATTATATTTTTTGGAACCATTCATCACCAGCACAGTCCAACATGCATAACACAGCAGCGGCCCCTGTATTACAATCAATTTATCACCTGTTCCTCCAGGGGATGTGATAACACGTGGCACTGACTACAGCAAAACCAGGTGAAGGCAGAATAATTCCAACTTTCTGTTATTAATGGAAAGTATAACCCCAGACAGACAGACAGAAGCTGCGTGGCTCTTGCCCGGTGCGTGGTGCTGAGAGAGCGGTGCAGCAGCAAGCGGTAGTCTCAGAGGGGTGAAACACTTACTGTTGGCTATGTTGGAAGCAGTGTAACTGTCTGCCATTCCTGAGACCTGGCTGGCAATGCTGATCTCACTGGCTCTCCGGAAGCCCCTGAACTGAGGGGCTGAAATGGGGGTGGACAGGGACGCGCTTTCCATGAAGACGGCACCATGAGACTGAACAACATCTGCTACAAAGTTGAAACAGGGAAATCAAAATATTAGACCAACAGACAGAGGCTGGGCAAGATGAACTTGAAGGGAGGAAGGAAGCAAACAAGGCTGGTAGGTGCAAAAACCTTTCAGAACCGATTGGAATGAAAAAAAACATTTCATTGGAGCTCTGGTTTGAAAGAAAGCAAACACCACAGCAGGCAGAGACACAGGTGGCTGGAGGAGCAGTCTTTGATTGAAAGAAGCAAAATAAGTAGCTCAAAAACCAAATCCAAAATGCCAAAGAAAAATCCAGGCAGACTTATTCAAGCAGCAATAACTGAAGCATGTGTCATACATACAGATGTGAATACAGGCAACTTCATATATTCACATCGGGACAAAATAACCAAGGTAAGGAGAACAACAAAAATCAACCTTAGAAAGGGGATATTTGTTTTCTTTAAACATTTAGACTTAAATGAACATCTCCAAGACAGAAGCATTAATGCAAAAACCAAAAAATTTAAAAAAAAATCAAGAAAACATTTTCATGCCTGGCAGGGACTAAATTTGAACTTGTATTTTATCGCTAATGGATACAGCCAACACTCGTTAAACTAAAGTAAGGGCTATTGAAAGAAAGGAGTCTGGTGCTGAGCACTTACATCTCCAATCGGTGTTGGCGGATCAGGGAGCACTCAGTCTCTGTGAAAACAGAGCTTCTTTTGTACAACGTGCAAGTCTGGATTTTTAGATCCCAACCTGAGGTTTACCAAGTGTGGCCTAACCCTTTAGTACATAAATACAGAAAAGGAGGATTTAAAGTCATGCTCACATGGACCTTACACAAGTATTGGAGGGAAATGGACCTAAAATGTTCAGGACTGGCAAACCGAAAGATACTGAAAGTCACAACAAAATCTCTGCATTCCAGTTTTCTCCCTGTAACAGCGGTAAAAGCATCCACCCATCTGCGGATGCTACGAGGTCGAATTAAGTGTCTCTGGGACATCCCAAGATCCTGCACTGCAGAAGGTTTTTGTAATGCCAATACCAAGTACTTCACAGCAGGCAGCACCAGTAAGACAGTAACATGCAAAAGCAAAGCTACTTACTATCATTTTAAGGTTGCCCATCTCTGCTGTACCTGAGGAGCAGCATCTGAACTTTATTCCCAGGTATCAGACAGGGCACAGGTTTGTGCCCAGCCAGGCAGTAGATGTCACAGGGAACGCGAGTACATTACTCCCACAGACCAATATCCTCCGCCTGTTTCAGCCAGTTTAGATATCCTTGGATTTAATCCCAGTATGCGGCTGACACAGAGTGTTGTTTTGGCAACTGGCTTATTTTAATATCGATCTTTTTTTGCTCAGGGCTACTGATTTGCTTCCTCCAATCTCTCAGTTCGCAGCAGCAGTGTCTGTGCCCACACAAATCCTGCTGCAGTGGAGGAAAAGGGAGCGTATGAAGCAGAAAACGTGTAGCTAAGTGTCAGTAAAAGAGTTCTGTTCTCTGCAGGGAAAATCAGGCCACAAGCTGCTCTGTGTAAAAGCTTCGTGGACTGCAAGATCTGAGCCTTAGCGGGAGCCTGACCTGATGATGAGCTGCACACACTGCCCACGTTGTGCCTGAAAGGCCATTACCAGCATCACTTTCTCAGCACTTTCCTCCTCCTTTCACTTTGCCTTGAGCTGCTGGCTGTCAAGACTGCTACCAGTTTCTGCAACCCAGCCAGCCCCACCAGGCCAGCATGGCTTTCTTACTGTGGAAAGCACCAGCACAAGCAAGAGAGGACAATTCAAGTGGAGGCTGTACTTGGAGAACATGAGCCAAGCCAGGAGCCGCATTCAACCCCACAACGGTTTCAAGGGTAAAGGATCTCATTCCCATTGCTGCATGACCTGGGACAACCCTCTCATCTCTTCCCTGGTTATCCCTTCCTCTCCTTTCCCTTGCCTGTACAGACAGCGAGATCCTTCTGCGCTCATGCACTTGTGTCACATCAAGTGGGTGCCCCAACACAGCTGTAAACCCAGATGAGGACCATCAGCTTCCCTCAACCTGGTCAGATGCAAGGAGAGGTTTGGCTTTGTCTGCACTAGGAAAACTGCCAGGTTCAGGTTTAACTAATACCTACCAGCAAAGCCTCAACTTCTTCCTCTCCCTTAAACAGAAAGTATCTGTGGCTTGAATTAGGAAGCAGCTGGAAGACACGCTAAAGAGTGTTACAGCAATGCTACACAGGAGAAAAGGCTGGGCCAAATGTGGTGCTGCCTGGGTTGATCATGGCTCTGGCTCCATTAGCATGTCTTCACTTAGCTCTGCCTGCAATTTATCTCCTTTTTTGAGAACCCAGAAAGTGAATAAAGGAAGAAACAGTGGTATTTCGGGCTTGCTCTTTTTAGCCAATCTTGCTTTCCTGGGCCTGACTGGGGATTTTTTTTAATACAATGAGTTTGAAGCAAAAACACACCCAACGTCAACAGCCCTTCCAACACCATCCTAACTAGTGTCACCAGAGGAGTAATTTTCACTCCTATAAAAGCCTAAACTGTTTTAGCATTACTGAACTGCTGAGCATCGCCTGCATAGGTGGCAGGAGTCTGTTCTGCAGCAGATGAAGTGCCACCCAACAGCAGTGCTCCCATGCTCCAGCCCACTCAGGTTGCTCTTGTGTTTCTCCCTTTTCCCAAGCTTCCTGAAAAAGGACAGTTTCTAAGAAAAATGAGGGCCAGGAAAGGGCAGGGTAGGAAGCGTGGACAGAAAACCTGTTTTATGCATTACTGGCCCTTCAGCCAGGCTTCCTTGACCCCAAAGCTGCAGTGACAGCGACTTCCAGACAAAACCGGGACCTGACTTGCAGGAAAAAAAGCCTCTAAACCTATTCCCTAAACTCTCTGTATTCTTTGCACCAAATCCCTTATGCAGCACCGCTCTTGCAATTTTGAAGCCCAGGGGTCTTTCCTGGGGAGTGCGGTGGCCAGGATGGGACATCACAGACGCTGCCATGCCGACACAGACTGACCCCCAGCACCTGCAACCGCTCCTGCTCCTAAAGGGAGCAGTCTAAAGTCTTCTGCATCGCAGAGGTGGCATCCCCAGCCACGACTCAGGTCCTGACAATCACTGGGAGGTTTTTCAGGCAAGCACTTTGAGCCCAGGGTGAAGTTGGATGGCCGGACCAGGCCCAGCAGCAGCAAGACCTTCCTCAAGATCAGCTGTTCCTTTATGTCACTAGATAAGGACAGAGGTGCCCCGGTTCACTGCACTGGCTGAAGTGTACTTTGTACCATGTCTGAGGGCAGACTTTATCAGAATGAGGAAGTTTCAGGAAGAGGACACCTGGCTCGAGTGGTGCCCTGGGCACCCTCTCTCCCAGCAAAGGACCCGCTGCTGCTCCAACTGCAGCACGCACACGTTGGGCCAGTGCAATGAACCGAGATTTAACGGCACTTCCAGAAGACCTGACGTAAGAAGCAAAATCACTTTTTTTTTTTGCTTACCTATGGATCTTTAATACTCATTTCAGTGCTGTGTCTTTTCATTTATGGACTCATTTGTCAATGTTCTTACTAATTGTTTCCCACTAAGTGAACGACATTGGGCCATCCTCCTAACGTACTGCTGGTACTGCATTAAGTCCTTGGGGTATCTGAATGGCAGATTTCAATATGTGCTATTTGCAGGCTGAGCTGTGGCACTGAAGTGGGAAATACTGAAAGCAATCAAAAAAATAAAAAAATAGAAAAGCCAGCCAGCTTCTCAGCACAGGCCAGACCCTGCTTGCACTGGAGTAACTGGTCAGTGCTGGCCACTCTGCAGTTGCTACCCTGAGATCAAGAGCAACACAGATTTCTGTTGTCTGTAAGTTTTTATGATTCTGGAAATTTCCCACAGTCCAGTGGCTGAACTGGGATTCAGCACTTGCTACAGTCAAAGCAAGCACTGCTTGGTCACACTGTGCTCTTGACACACAAGGTAAAGAGCAGAGAAGCTTCTAAAAGCTTTGTCCTGACAGTGGGAAATATCAGATGACAGCTAAATGGCATTTCATCAGTGACCTCCAAAGTGATTAATTAATAGTACCAGATCCTTTCCCTCTGTTTGTTACAGAACATCACAGCACAGGCAACATGGCAACTGCATACCTAAAAATCTTCTACATCTTCAAAAGACAAAGGGAGAGACTGTCTGGAATAGTCAGCAATGTTGCCATCCTGTATGACCACATAACGTACTGGACTGCTCGTGAACAGCAAGGGTCAGCTTGTTAAAGACAACAAGGCAGCAGAACTGAGCTCTCAATGCAAAACACTGAAAAAGGGGTGAGAACGGGCAAGTAAGACACACGGGGAAGAAAAAACTAAAACAAAGTCAAGCTTCATTGAAATCGCAGATGTAGCACCAGCCACAACCAGAATAAATGAGGCCATGCAGCACTTATGATGGAAAATATGGCAAAACAAATGCATCAAACTTTGCTTTTAAGGCAGAAATCAAGAAATTATTTTTAAAAAGCCAACACATATAGCCACCTTGGGGTCTGAAAGCCTCAGTCACTGTATTCAGCAGAGCCACAAGGAGTGTCCAAACATGAAATACTCAAATGGACAAAATCTGGTCTGACACAGCCAATAATTAGACTTTTGGCCACGGTGCAGCATGGCTGACTGCTGGGGAGTCGCACACTGCAGACAACCAACCCTTTCCCAGGGGATCCTGCGCATGGTGTGTACCACACGAGCAGGGCCACCCTGGGACTCTGCTTCCTTCCAGCAGCACAGCCACCACAGATGGAAAAAATTAAGTACATGGCAGCAGTCTCCCCTTCTAGCATCAACACCAGAATGGGACAGAGTTTGTAATCCCAACTTGGTCTTTTCATGGTGGGTCTCCAGACCCAAGCATGATCCCAAGCAGTTATTTCATGTGGCACAGCCTGAGACACAGCATGAAGATTTCAACTCCAGGAGGCAACAGTATGATCTCCAAAAAGCACCCCAAGTACCCAACACCATAGACAATACAAAAGTGTAGATTACACACACTCAGCAAAACCAGCACTTTTATTGGAAATATCTTGCCAATTCAGTACGGGAACGGGGATACTTGTTTCCATGAAGCTGTCCTGGTGCTGGAGAGCACCCAGAGGGCTATTTTCCATGAGGAGGATGGGATTGTTCTGGATTGTCTCAACTAGAAGCAGATGGGAAAAAACAAAACAAAACAGAAGGACAAAGAACAACAGACATGCGGCCACACAGTGTTAACATACAAACAGTTACAACTGAGCACTTCAACTATGAGTCTTCAATGAAAAGACAACCTTCAAATAGAGTAAAAGAAACAAAACATGGGTGACTTTCCAAATAGACCCACATCAGAGAGATTAACTAGTAGCAGAGGAGAGCACAACGATGGCATTTCAACAACAAAAGAAAAGGGAGTCCTCTTAACCAGCTTCTCCAATGAGCCAAATCCATAAATACCCAGCAGATCCAGAGAAATCTTTTTACTACGAGGGGAAAAAAATGTAAGCTGTAAGAGAAGATTTACTTGAATCAGACTCACAGCCTACACAGTGCAAAGCACAGGAGTAAGCAGGGCTGTGAATTTGATTTCACTCTGCAAGTTGGTTGTAATGAAACAGGGACCCAACATTCAGTACAGATGGGAAAATGAAAGAAAAAAGTCTAAGATGCTTTCTGAATCGTGGACTTTTAAAAAAGCTAGCTATCTGCATGAGGAAATATGCACAAGCAGTGTTACAGAAGGTTTTGTACAAAACTAATTATAATTGAGCACCTGAATTTTATGTGATCACCAAATCATATAGCTTAATTATAGCAGCAATTAACTTTTCTGGAGCGTCCTACAGTGAACACTAACTTCAGTAGCGGCTTTGCAAATCATGGTTAGAACAGTCCTTCTGGGTAATATGTAAATCACAACACTGAAATTTTGACTCTAATGGAAAGGAATAGCCTGTTAACTTTATGATAAGCAAATGAAGCAGCTTTGTCTTATACAAGAAGAGAATTTAAAGCTGCTTTTTTGTCAGTTTTATTCATCAAGGCAGAGCAGGATCTCTTAAAATAACAAGGCTCAAACCTGGAGAGGATTTTGAAATCACTCTACCCTTCTCATAGTTGAGCTAATTGCTGTTTAACTCCTCTCCACCACATAGCAAGTGTCTCTTTAAACACAGCCAACTCAAAGGTCTAGGGAGGCATAGCAAACTAGTAAGATCCCTGCTGTTGTACAGAATGATAACCAGAACGCAGGTTGCTCAGTGTCAGCAAGGCTTCTACCTCTGCCTTCAGTGAGAACAGGGGATTTGCAATGTATTTAAGAGGAAGAAGGTAAGATGTTTAGGATTTTTTTTTTTTTTTAAGAAACCACTTGCAGCTCTTGCAGCTGATACCTAGAATACACCCAAAAAGCAAATTGCTTTTCAAGTTGCTACAGATTCCCTGAGCTGTTGTAACCAGACTGGGTACTAATGTAATTGTGGGTGGATCCATTTTTAAAAAGTGTTGCAGCAAGATCTTTGCTAAATTTGACAAGTGAGTGGGGCCTGCAGAAAGTATGTTATTCACTTTATTAAACATGGGGGTTTATGCCCATTTAACAAATCAGACCTCCAGATTCAGCAATTACAATACAATTTTTAAAGACACTGATACACAGCAGACCACTGCTTTGGATTTTCAATTTAAAAATGATGCAGGGTATCACCAGAATTGTTCAGCTCTAGATACATATCCCTCTTCATTTAGTCCTGCATGATTCAAATATTAAACAAATGGGAAGCTACCAGAGATTTGGGAAAAAAACAACCACCAAATCCCAATCTTTCTAGCTGGTGGCTTTGATATTCTACTCTGGTTTGCCAGCATGATTTCTTGTGTGCTGTAAGTCTAGTTTTATACTAGCAACTCTTAGTTGCAATGTTGACTTAAGTAGCCATCGACTAATAACTTCTCGCAAGGGAAAAATTACGGTGCAATTGTTCTTCCTGCTCCAAAGCCCTGACCCTGCAGGGAACCAAAGCTTTACATGAAGCAGAAAGGCCAAATTTAGCTCTGCACAGTGGTGAGCTTCCCCAAGAGCTCCTTGCAATGAGAGCCTGCACTGAAATGGCAACAGACCGTGAAAGTCTAGGCACAGAAGTGAGGTGAAGATGGTAGGAAATATAATTTATTTTATTAGATCAACTGCAAGAGCACTGATGTAATGGGAGCTGAGGCAGTGCATGGTCAGGACACAGTTGTTTCAAATGCAACCCAGTAAGACAAAAGGGCATGCACACAGCCATTTTAGACTTTGTTCCTGCTGCAATTGGGGTAGAGCAAGTGAAGAGGCAACTGATGGCAGAGGAATCCTAGGTATCCTAGAAAGACAAAGTGTCTCATTGGCAAGGTGGCAAGGGCAAGGCACCATCACCAGCCCACTGATCTGCAGTAGCCTGTCCCATGACAAAGCACAGGTTGCAACCAAGTAAATCATCTTGTTATCTCACTGTTGACTCTGCTCCTTCCAGTCTTTACTGGCCCTCCAAACATCAAAGTCCTAAGCCCTGCCAAGTTAATCACGTTTCATTCAGTCCCAGTCACAAGCACCAGCTTCTGGTAAAACAGGGACCTTCACAGAGAGGTCACCACATCACAGATCTCAGCGGCTGATGGCCTTTGTGTGACAAATGAAGCGCATATGGGTCACAAGGCACTGATTTTCTTGGAAGAAAACTACTTTTCTGGTAAATCAGGAATAAGGCTAACATTATAGGGCCAATTCTCTTTCTTGTCATTCCCAATAGCTTTGATAATTTCATATAAAGTGTGGATACAACCCTTTAGACAGCTAATATAGATCCAAAGTGACTTACCCAGAACAGCAGAATTGCCATCACCCAGCGGGAACCTCTGGTAACGGGGAATATTAAAGGGAGGCAAAAGGTAGAACTTCCTCTCCAAAAGAGGCTCGAGGCGTGAAGCAGATGGGTCTGCAGGGTGGAACAGGTTATAGACCTGCTGACAAGCTGGTCTGAGCTGAAAGACTAAAAAGATGAAGAAAAAAACCCCTCAAGTATCAAAAGGTTATTTGTTAGACTATTGTAAATATTTGTCCGTAAAAAGGACAACTGTTGGGTTAAAATAAGGGGCTAAGGATTTATCATCTACCTCATCTCCAGTTTAGTCAATTGAAACAATTTATTACACTACTTATTGACTCAAGAATTGCCCAGTATTTTTAATGTTTGGAAGTACATTGCAAATAAATTGTATAGTAAGTACTGGCTAGAGCACACAGTGATCTGCTTCCTTACAGTGCAAGAAATATTATATATAAATTTTTTGTTTTTACCAGTTTGTCTCATCGTATTACTGCATTTGTAGCAGGAGATGCTTATATCGTCCATTAAGTGAGCTCAGCAGTTTACATCAGGACTTACTGTCAAGAGCTGGAATGACAGTTTTTCGCAGTGCAAGAACCAAACCCAAGGGAGAACCAAAGAGGAAGAAGTCAGTGATCTCAAATTCAAACTTTCCAATATTTCCTCCATCCAACATAGTAGAGCTACTAGATCGCCTGGATCCTGGGTCATTTCTCAGAACACTAGAATGTAAACTGGGACAAGAACAGAAAATAAAGTAAAAATTTTATTCATGCTGCAGTTTCATAACTGAAGGCTGGATTATTAGTGATTGACAGCAAATATAATTTCTATCTCTTTAGTGAAGGAACTGTGCCAATCAACCCACCACGCCTCAGTACTGTAGTTTTATGAGTCAGTAAAACTTCCCCCCAAACAATTACCCCTTTACATTGGCATAATATAGATTGTACAAATCCAAGCTTCAAGTGGCTCATTTACACAATCCTATCTCCTCAAAATGCATTTCTTTGAGGAGTCAGAATCTTGGTTGCTGCTAGTAGGATAGTCATTTGCAAGACAAAATAACCAGCAAGCCAAAATTACTAGAGTAGCAGGGTAAAAAGCAGGTTTACAGTGATTTACTCCATCATACATGTTACTGCTATGCTTTCTGGTTGTCAACATTTGAGTTCCTTCCATCACCTTATTCTCAAATGTTATGGAAAGCTGTGCTTACCCATTTCTTCCTCGTGGAAGTAGTTGGACAAATGTTATAGGATTGAAAAGGAAAAAGAAACGGGAGGGGAAAGAGAAAAAGAAAGATCAAAATCTGCAAGAGGGTTTCTAGTATCTTTGTGCACCAAGTTTGTACCACAGCTTCCATGCATGTGTATGGCATTTGCTGGGAATGGGAATTTGGGGTAATTAACTCAGTGGCCATGTGGTAAATTGTATTTATCATGCACACAGGACTCTCCCACTTCTGCCCATGAGGCCACATATGTCGAGTTATTACCAAGCTACCTCTCAACCCCAGCCCAACAACTCCAGGCAACTGTACTTAAAAAGAATAATGATATAAAACATGTCTAGCTTTCCCCCTCTCTTTCAGGTGTCAAATCTGTTTGCAAAATTCAACCTGTGTACAGTGCAGGCTGGGCAGTACACAGGTTTAACACAGAGATTTAAATTCACATATCCCTTGGACACTGAGGAAGAAGCAGGAATTCTTAGATGAAAATCCTGTGAATCCACCCCCATGTTAGGAAGAGGTGCTTCTTTGCAGTCTAGATCTGGGATTAGACAGCAAAATGACAGATGTGCAATACTAATAACCTAGTTCACAAAAGGGTTTCCAAGATTCTTCTGTTACCACCCAAAAGCAATAAGTTGCAATTTCTTTTGCTCTCCACGTTCTACAGATTCAGATGGCAGTCTTGCTGGGTTATTGTCGTTATAATTAGGAGTGGAGAGTTGAAGACAGAGTACCAGCAGTGACTTAACAGGGTGTTTGCAGACACTTTATAAAGCATCTGAACAGGTTCTATAAAATATGTAAGATAAACGGATACCACAACAGTTGGGTTGGATAAAAGGTTTACTGGCCTGGAGTCAGGAATAATGCAAATGCAAGAGTCTTTTGCCAGCTCCGTGGCCCCCAGTCAATATCCCAGGTGGTCACCAGCACTTGCCGTGTCTCCATATGCAATAGCACTCGCTCATCAAGGCCACTTCTAAACGCAGTGTGCTGGCTGCCCGGCTGGGCAGCGACATCCCAGCACTGCTGCACTTTTGGAAATAGGGCTGCTCACTCCCCACCATCTGTAGCACCAGAGCAGGTGCTCATGCACACTCCTCCTCTGGGACAGCCATTCAGTAAATGAGCAGCTGCAAACACTCACAAATTTGAGAAGAAAACGGCTTTCACTCGGACTTTGTTTTTCTGCTTTGGCAAATAACGCATCATCCCAGAGACAGCACCTCTGCTGAATGCCACTCCTAAAGGATGCTAAAAAACTTTCTTCTCATGCCGCACTGTCACATATTCTCTAAGGGTGCACGCATGCACACGAACAGCACTACTCTCCTGGTTACCAGCCGCAGGGAAACAACAAGCTTACTTATGCCAGACATACGTATCATGGAAAGTCAAAACAGTGATGTCAAAAGCAAGAGGAACAGGAGGTTATAGCAGTGACAGGTAAAATGAACATGTTCCCATTTCTGTGATGTGAATGAGCTTCCCCAAGATCACACTGCCAAGACGCACAACGCTGAAACACATTTAAAAACAAGCCACCTTCAGTGAAGCTACAATTATTTTAGCTGACAAGACTGCAATGCATTAAGTTTGCTGCGTGTAATGAATACAAAGTTATTTAGAACATGTTCGGTTCTAAACACGACAGCAACGTGATTCAAACAAAGGCACAAAAGGAAAGACTATCCCGATAGCAGATGTGTTATGGCAGGACAGGTGTAAGGGGTTTTTGGTGTATTCCACCCATCTTCCCATCGCATCTCTTTGTGGGGAATGGAAGAGAACGAGAGCACTTATACCACTAAGCAATTTGGACAGCTTCTCTCCTTTTACTGGGAACTTGATAGTCTTTTTAGCAATCAAAAGAAATGGGAGCCAAGAGGAACTCTGAATCCGTCATGCTCCAAGCAACCTACAGTGCCCTGTTCTCCCTTTAAAAAGCAGCAGATGTACTGTGTGCATTAATTAAACAAGAGCTTATGGATTTCAGAAGCAAATCAACTCATTTACAATAATACAAGTACAGCACAGCCAGAAATAATGTAGTTGTGCAGAAGGACTGAATTTAAAAATAAATGTGTGATTGTAATTTCCAGATGCTGCTCTGGCTTGTTGGGCATTATCCCAGAGAAGCGGGTAGGTCTGATACATGAATAAAAATGAATGTCTTTGGCACAAGCTGAAATCTGCAATCGGCACGGACAGAAAGGCCCCTGTATACCAGGTTGCCCGTCTGCTGAGCCCATTAGGAGAACTTGGCTCTGTTCTGCCAATCTCCTGCACGAAGCCGTGTCACATCAGGGCTTGGTTTTCGTATGTGAAAATCATTACTTAGTGACAGAGAGGCTGAAGGGGAATTCTGCTGATGACTGTGCAGCTCAGTAATGACGGCTGTAAGCACAAGGTCCAGGGATGGGTCCAGGTGTGATGCCCTGCTGTCACGCAGGAGGGGAAGAGGTGAATTACTGCACCCGAGCCTTTCCTATGCCAGGGAGTGGAGGGGGAGAGATGTAGAGAGAGCTTGTACAGCAGCTTCACACTGCTCCTTTACCTGACTGAATCTGGCTCTTGAGCTGTGGGAAGATGCTCATTTTTGACCCAAGGTCTAAAGGTGGATTTAAAAAAAATACAAAATGGTAAAAGAAGTAAAGATGCACCAATCCATCAGTGCACTGAACACTGACAGCCCTTGCCAGGGACCCCCAAGCGCTGCACGTTGGGAGCAGGCACAATGCTTAGGAGATGGAACAGTAAGAACGAGGACAAAGCTATTTGAAATGACAAACTGTGCAATCCCTTATCTGCGTCAGGCCCAGAGCTTACTCTAAACTAGATGTAAAACTGCAGCAAGATGCCAGCCCACTTTCCTCAGCCAAGTCCATGCCCCTGAGGTCAATAACGAGGAAGAGAAAGAGCACGTTTTTGTATGACTCATATTTTCTCCTGTAATACAGGAGACTGTTTTGATAAGGTATGAACAAGAGACTGATTGCCTTTTACTAACCTGCTGGAAATAGCTGAGAAGCTTATTGTGGTTTTTGTAAATGCAGCTGTCTTTCTGAAGATAGTATCTCTGTGCACCAACAACACTCACTTTGATACTTTCTCTCTCCTATGAATCTTTTACAAAAGGGCCTCTGACGTGGCAGGACAACACAAGTCCCTGTGCTGGAGCAACTATTACAAGTAGCAAAGGAGGGGCAAAAGCGCAGGACAAGCCTTCAGCTCGGCACAGGGCAAAAGGAACAGCCTTGGACACAGCTTCAATGCAGATAACGGTGTTTGCTGGTGGGGGGACATCGCTCCCCAGTACCTGGGACATGGGGGAAGAGGTATTAAGAGGCTGTTGCAGTTCCTCTGGGCCTGCAGGAGAAAAAGGTCTGGGCTGTCCAGTTCCACAGGCTGAAGAAGATGATTCAGTCAGAAAAAGTCTCCGGGCTTACAGAAGTAATCCCTGAATGACCAGCAGCAATGGGAAGACTGCTATGAAAATTTCATCGGTTATGTTAATGGATACATTTCTGAAAGTCCATTTGAAGAAGCTTAGGAATGTGATACTTGGGGGCTTCGATATTAACAAATCTGAAACACGACCTTGGTGCAACAGAGCAACCCTGGCAGGGGACAGAAAACAATCCCCTGTCCCTGCTCCACACAGGGGACTTGGGTTGCTTTGCCAAATAGTCACACCGACAGAACAATCCTCACGTGCAGTTGAAGGCTGCTCCATGAACCAGCCAACCAGCTAGGGTTCAGGATGTCTCATCCAGAGCATCCTGCCACCATGACAGCAGAAACTTGCTCCTGTGACAGGAAAGGGCACCACAATTCCATCTCACACCTGAACTAGGCCAAAATTAAAGGATACTCGGCTCAAGCTCACCTTTCCCAAAAACAGGCCAGCCAACTCAAAATCAGCTTTCAGAGATGCTTTGAAATTAATACAACACTGGATTCCCAGTTCTGCTTCACCGTCTTCCCTTGCACGATTTCTACATTTGCTTTATGATCTCCATCCTGCACTTGCAGCACAGCAAAAAAGCAGTTACCTGACTGCCTTGGCTGTCAAGCAACAGGATGATGGGCTTCTTGCTGTTGTAATACAGATGCAGTAGAGCAGCTGGATTCTCTCACTTCCACTCAGCAAGAGAGCTGTTAATTTTTTTTGCATATACAACAGACCGAAATCTATACCCTAAAAACCTAAACACTTTCCTCCACCTTGCTTATCACAGGATGACAAAGCAACATTCAAATTTCACAGATGCACCAATCTCAGCTCCAGAATATTGCTGGTTCTGTTCCTTCAAAATCTTACCTTGAAAGAAAGGCTTGATGCTGCTTTATCGTGTCCAGTTCATAGGTTGATGAATCGCTCCTTTTTCGTGGCAGCTGCTTCTTTGGATCTTCTCCATTGCTACGGGGAATATCAATGTTGCTCCTGCTGAGGTGTCTGCTGGCTTCCAGATTAGAACCACTGGAACAATAGCTGTTGTTCACCGTTATTCCAGGAGACAGGAGGTCGGTATCCTGGGATTTGAAGTATATGGATTTAGCACTCTAACAGCTGAATCAGGAATACACCCACATTATAAGCTTCTCCTGCCACCCTCCTTTCCCCATCTATCCCAAGATCCAGTTGAGGGCAATACAGTATCTCAGACCAAACCACTTCCTAAGGGTGTGGGTGATGCAGGTGTGGGTAATGCTTCACACCAGAGGGTGAAGCATCCCTGTTCAGAGCAAATGCACCCAAATTGAGACACATATGCACCTTAAGACACACGTTTGCCATTGATAAGGAACGGAGTCTTTGTTGTTTCATGAGAAGAGCCTTACTAAAAACAGGGGCCATGGAGGCGCTGTGGCCAGCAGACCTATTCCCAGTAGACACTGGGAGCCAGTATTACCTGGACACTCACAACACTTCCTCGCCGACTGCTGTTCTGGCTCTCAGACACAGTTTGATTGCTGTAGCATAAGGCATCAAATCCCAGAATTCCTCCAACACAGTCCCCTACCAAGCAGACCTGAAAAAGGCAACAGAAGCAGGGGAAGAGGGGAAAAGAAAAAAAAAAACAGGCCCCTTGACTTCAGTTCAGAAATGACAGTTAAAAGAAGTGCTGGATTATACCTAGGAAAGCTGCAGTAACAGGATGCCCAGTTCTTTCATCAGTAAAACTATTGAACATCCACCCATACCCTGCATACTCTCGTTATCTAATGTAGCTAATGTGTTCTGGCTGTCCCCATCAGCTGGCTGGAGCAAAGTGAAAGCAACACAGAGCACTGACTATAGCACTAAGTCCAGCCTCAGAAAACCAAGCTTGATTCCCTTCTTGCCAGCTGTCCATGTTACTTCAGGCAAGCTTCCCTGTGCTTCTGTCCTGTTTGTACCCTGAGGTGATAATACTGTCCTGCCTCCACAGGTATTGAGCAGATGGGCACAATAAAGCACTGAGACCCCTGGGTAGGAGAGGGCTGTCTGGGAAGAAACTCAGGGTGGTTAAATCACACTACAACAGTGCAATGTGACAGCTAGTCCAATAGCTCAAACCTCGTGGGGCTAGAGAGTCCCATTGCTCACAGAGGTGTGAGGCTCAGGCATGGGGTGCAGCAGCTGCAGAGCCTCAGAAAAGAAACCCACTTTTGTAACAACTCCAGCGTGAGCTGCTGAAGGTCCTTTAAAGACAGGAATGCTTAAACAGCCTTGGTTTGCAATGGAAGAAGAGATCATGTTTGGTAACAAAGGTAGCATTCCTGATTTGGAAAGGTGTGCCATGATGAAAATTGATTAACTTCACAGCTTTGTAGCTTCATTTCTGAACACAAGCTCAGACTTTGCTTTGAATCCCAAAGGCTCAAGACAGAGCATAAGCAATAATCTCTCTCACTCAGAAAGAAAGAAATGGAAGCACAATACTTTCTTATTGCAGCTCAACACTGTCATGTTTCCATCCCTCCTGAGAGATTAATGGAAAAGAGAGCTTCAGAAGGAAATTGCTTCACTTGCTCTTCCTTTCATTATGGCTATAAACAGCTGCTGGCTCACCTGGCCGTTGAATGACATGCCCTCCTGGGATCTGATGAACTCACTGTAGGCCTGGTTGGCTCTGACGATGACTGTGGCTACCGCTTCTTGGTACTGCGGGGATGATGTTGCTAGCAGAGGGAGTGCAGCAAGGGGAATGTGATCCTGGCTGTTGGACAGGCAGCCTTCATCATAACTATATGGGCTGAGGCTGGATAGGGCAAGAGACATTGGAAATATTCAGCCTAACATACAGAGTGGGGAAAACCATTTGCAGACAGTACAGTCAGTATTGCAGTTCATTGAAAAAAAGCCTCAAGATAGAAAGGCCATTTATTCCACTGTGAATGGGTGAGAGCTTAATAAATCTTTCCCTCCCATCAAACGTAAATCTTCAAGGACAACATACTTACATTGAAAGAACAACCCTTAGACAAGGAATTAAAGCCTTAGTATTTATTGGATTAATTAGAATAAATCAATCTCAGAACTCTTGCTGCATGATTACTGTATTCACTGCAGCTAAGTATGAAATCGAGATTGAATGCCTCACTAGTATATTAATAAGTGCATTCTCAAAGCACGGTCAGAGCTTTCAATACTACACGCAGAATATTTCAGGGAAGCGGTAAAAAAAACAAGAGTGAAATTTTCTACGTGTCTCTCCATGACAGAGTAGCATCAACTTACCTGGACACCAGCGAAAAAGCTTCGGAGCAGATGGCTGGGCAAGGGACTAGCCTGATGGCAATGTGTCCCAGAGCCGCTGGGTAATGTACCCTCATCACTGTGTCAAACACTGTCGTGATGGTGTTGACATCCCCTTGCTTGGAGCTCTGGTCACCACTTCCTGAGTCCAGGATGTTCCCTCCATGGAGTACCAAGAGGAGGACATGGATTTTACTTGGCTGCATTAATGGCTGCACTGATTCATCCTAGGTGGGAATGAAAGAGAACACAGTAGAAAGGCGTATTTTACAAAGAGGTTTTATTTGGTCCAAGTGTCTTTTATGCAAATTTTATCACCCTTTCCTCCCCAAGTTTGCACATGGTGCATACAATAAATGCACTATCCACATCAAGTCCAGTCAGGGATGAGGCAAACAACAATCCATGAAGCAAGGTATTTCCAGCAGAAACAGGATTAGCCGTGATACAAGGCCTTGGCCAGCCCCCATCAAGAAGGCTGAGTTCAGTTTGGGCCATCAACACAAAGGTAACTGCAGTGTGAGAAGGACCACAGAAGGACAAGAAGCACGGAGACTTTCTGAACAGAGACTGAAAGAGTTCAGGTTGATTTGCTTCACAAAGCTCCCCGAGAATGAAATGCCTGCTCTCAAACATGGTGGAGATGAGTAAAGAAAGCTAGGGAGGGAAGAGAGGCACTTAAGTCAAAGGAGAGCGCAGACGCAAGCACAAGAGTCTAAACTGATCCTGAATAAGTGTAGACTGGAAATCAGGTTTCTAAACACAGGAGATATGAGGTTTTGGAACAACATCTGCAGGCTTACAGGTAAGAAACTAAACTGTCTTCAAGAAGGAATGTGCTTAATTTATGGAAATGGGCATTAGATACACCTGGATACAACAGCTGAGAACCTGACTACTCCTTCCAGGTCTCTTATCCTACACAACACATGCATGCACAAACACACACAAACAGCCTCGGCAAAACTGACTGTCCTGAGCAGAAGAAATGCTGGAAGTAAAAAAAATTTGCATAAAATTGTAAACAGGTAAAACATGGCAGCAGTAAAGACATTACTTGTGTGCGTTTGGGTGGAAAAATAAATAAAAGATGGGTGTTGCTTTCTGTTGGGGTGCTGAGCTCAGCAGCAGCAGTTGACAGTAAAACACATGCAGCAAAATTAACAAATGAGTTCGAACAGGTCAGCGAGGGGCAAGTTACTGGGGAAAGAAGTTGTAGGAAGAGATCAGTCATTGCATCTGTTTGCCTACGACAGAAGTTACAAATATAAGACTGCAGATTTGCTTATACTGTTGCAAAAGAGGAACTGAAAAGAAAAAACTTCAAGACCTCAGTGACCCAAGGACTGGTCAACATGTGGCTGGGAGATTGCTGCATGAACACACTAAAGGTTTTTATTTTGGCTGTCCATGTTGTTTATTATGTTGAATCAATTCCTTGCCTAAGAAGACAGGCTGTAGTTTGGGGGAAGGAGGGAATTGTATCTGACCTCCAGAGTGGGTTATCATTAAGTGCCCTGCCAGAACAGCTGTAAGCCCAGTCCTGATGCCCCAGGAGCTGGTACAAAAGCATCCATTTTTACTGGTCATATATCATAACACAACAGAGCAGTAACTATTTTTAATATCTATTTGCTACCAGGGCTTTCAGTGTTTATGGCTCCCATATGGACTCAAATTCCCCAGCCCAACACCTCTGAGATATGTGAAAGCAGGTACTGATCTTTCCTCCTGTGCCTTGTCCTTTGTGCTAGTGGAGACAACATTTGAGAACATCCTGGGCAAGTCCCTGTTAAGGCAGAGAAATAGCCATTGGGAGGGGGTGTGGAAGGGGTGGAGGGCAGCAGTACTTTCCATTTGGCAAATTCTTCTAGTTTTAGCATCTTTAGTTACCCGTTGTCCTTTGACAGTGATTGAGTCCCTGACAAACCTGCTGGTGGGAGGAAAGCATGCCCAGGCACACATTAGCAACCTAACAACTAGCTTACATTTTTACCAGATAACGTTAAAGCATGTCTTAATACACAGCCCACCAGAAGTATTAAAATTCACATCCAAGTCTGTAATAAAGATTTTCCAGACCTTCTGCATAAGAATGGCCTTTAATTATTTAGTACCATTACACTGTATTAATGCCTGCTCTTTAAACCTTCTCTGATTCCAGTTTACAGCGCCTGCAAAGTGAACTTTTGCCTGGCTGGAGGCATGGGAGGAGCACTCTCAGCATCTCAGCACGCTTTTACTTTCAGACAAATGTTTTAAGTGCTCATTTGGAGAACAACATGAGTCATCAAGCTCTGGCCATCCAGAAGTTTATTGGCAGTCTTTTGGAGGCACCTTTCCCTTTCAGTTCATTAACCTCTGCTCTTAAAGGAAGTGGGGAACATGCAAGCAACTGCTGATTAGTTTAGGGGTGGAGGTGGCTATTTAGAACTTTCTTGTAAGATCTGGAGTCTCTTAAGGCACCTGATTCCTGAACTACCTTTTGGTGACGGCAGCTGTTAACCTGAAAATCATGCAATGGTGGCTAGGAATTTCATACTATTTTAGCAGACTGTGAACAACTACAAATAACTGTCTTTTTCACCTCACTTTGAAGTCTGTTCTTTTTCTAAAATGAAGGCAGAAACAGGAGGGGGTTGAGTTTGTACAGCCCTCTGGAAAAGACAAGTTCTCCACACCATCCTGAGCTCTAAAAGAAATCTTAGGGCTGTGACGTGGTTGTCTTGAGGTGACTAGAGCCGTTCCCGCCCCCAGCCACCCACTCTCCCCATGGCCCCTGAGCTCTCAGTCTATTATGAAAAAACCAAACCACCATGAAGTTACAGCCTGGCACACAGAGTAATACCAAAACCATGCTCATGGTCTTTCACAGACCATGACATAACTTATGCACTCTGCAAGCAGGTACACCATCTCTGCAGCACAGACAGGCAGATGCTTTAAGGGTAGCATGAGCACAGCCACTCCAAGATGCACTGTCTCGCTAGGACACTGAATTGCAAAAGCCTATACATGCAAGTCTAGAAAGCTGGGGGGGGTGTGTGTGTGTTACTATTTACTTATTATTTTACCCAGCGCGCTGATACAGGCTACGCTGTAACTAGTTTCCAAACAAGACCTGGAGCAGCTCCAAAGAGTGGGCTACAGCTGAGCTATGTCACTTGGACCACGGCAGCCTGCACCTTAGTGCTGCAGTAACGCGGCTCTCCGCTCCCATGTCCACACTAGCTCACTCAGCATTAGGACAGTTCTACCCAGCAGTGCCTCAGGCTGCAGTTATTCCCATAGGATTAGTAATTTTTTTTTCCCAGCTGGATACCTGACGCTGCCTGCAAACTACAGAGCGTTTTCTATATGGTGTTCAAAAGACGGGTGAAATAAACCCTTAAACCTAGCCATGAAGTACACAGCATGCTGGTGTGCCTCAGAACGACACACAAAGACAAGACATCGCTCACAGCAAAGGGAGCCGTTTACCCCATTTACCCCACACAGACATATTCCAGCAACAAAGGCTCTCATTACAAGAAACCGAATCACTTACTTCAATGATGCTGAGCCTCTCCACGCTGGAGCCAACATGGTACTCTGCTGATGTCTCGTGATACAAGTCACCTGGAAGCACAGAGATTTAAAACATCAGTGCTGCAAGATGTTATTTGGCAAAGACGCTCTTCCATAAAGACACTGTTTGTGCCAATGCCTCTCAGCCTCTTCTGCCTCACATCTCCTTAATTATTTCATCAAATCGCCTTCTCCTTCCCTCCCGCCTCCTTCCACCTGAGAAGCCTGGGCAACGCTGGGTCACTTACTTTCCAGCAATTTCTCATAACCTCGGTAAGCGCTGAGGACATTAGTGAGCTCTTTTCTCATTACAGCGATCCAGTATCATTGCTTTATTAAGGATGGCAACAATGGGAAGTCCCTGCACAATTGTCAGAAATGATTGGTTTGTGGGAAAATAAAAGGAATTGCTTGAACTATGCTGGGAGAGCAGATATCTGATGTGTTCATATGTCTGTGCCTACACTGACTGACTTTATACCAGAAAGCCTAAGTGTCATCTTCCACTGTGCTGCTACTTGAATCGATCTGGCTGAGGAGCTAGCTTCCTTTCAGAATTTCATAACGAAGAGCAGAAAATAAAACCAAGGCAGGTACAGACAAGAACAAAGCATGGAGCAAGAGGAAAGAAGAGTCAGGAGAAATTCAAGTCATTCAATACAGAGCTGGAATATTTAATCATTATATGACAGAATCCTGGCTGTCGCACAAAGAAGCCTAACCAACATGGAAAATAAAAGAGAATCAAGAGCTATCCCAACTCCCACTGGGCAATTCTTTTTCAGCAGCTCTGGGCAGTAATTTTTATGCTCTGTCTCAGCTTCTCCTTTTGTGAGATGAGGATAACAAGTTTTACCTTTTTCAGAATGTGGCTGTAACAATTGCCTGGAAATACTGTAAAATATCACATGCAGGTTTTACTTAAAAAAAAAATTACCCTGGACATCATCGCATTCGGGGGTTTCAATTTTATCCATCAGATCATTGGAACTCCATTTGGTTATTTCTTTCGGGAACATTTCCTCATTGTCAGACAAGTCCTCTTTAAAAAGAACAGATTTTTTTGAGAGTCACGCACACACAAATATGTATACAGGCAAGAGCACAGAACAGAATTTTAAATAAAAGTCAGGCTCCGTAACTACATAATCTTATAAACATTTGGATGGCTTAAGTCATAATAAAACATGATACTTTACCAGCTTTTGTTATATAGAAACCAAAGCACCTTTTGAAAAGTAGACAAAATGTTTTAGTTCCATGTTTTTAACAAACAAAATTCCTAAAGCGTGGAAAAATAACATGGATTTTTAACGTTACCATTTCAGGTACCAAGTTTGATGTTTTTCTTGCCATACTTTCTGATGATGCTAAAGCAGCCAGAATGCTCCAGTACAGGAGAGGACAAAGCAACGTCTGCTGCTGGGACCTGTCTGAAAGCTGCAGGATATCTTTGGGGGAAGCAATGACAAGGATCACTATTGTTAATACGACCAACTACCTAAAAAGGCATGAGTAATAAAGGAAACATGAACTTGCTAGGCTATCTTTAGCCCGATTTCCTTAGGAGATGAGACTTGTTTGATCACACTGATTGCATGTGTCTGCCATTTCCCTCCTGCCTCAGGACCTTCTGAATCCCCTGGCTCAGTTCAACTACAGTTGATTAAGAATAAGGGTCCCCAAAATATTGTGTTTGTAGAAGTGTAACTAAAAGGAAGAGACATATAAAGGACAGACCCTGTAAAACACCCCACAGTAGTATCCAAACGTAATAAAGATTAATAGCCTTGCGGTACAGCAGACATCAGAGGAGTTATGCCAGGTTAGGGGAGAAGAGGGCTGTGAGGTAGGGGACCCTGGAAGGCAGGCTTGTGCTTTGTGCCCACACCACATGGCGCTGAGCTGCAGAGCCCTAATTCACCGCAGTGAAAGCCTGACACAGGCAGGAGTCCAGCCTTGCCTGTCCACAGGTCTCTGCTGGTACATACACATGGAAACAAGCAGCTGAGCCCTGCAGAGGCTTCACTAAACAAGCCATTAGCAGCCGTAGCACTGGAAGAGTTCGTCCCAGTGCCCCCACCAGACACCCTACAACCCAACCCCATGCCTGCTGGCCTGGGCTAGGTTATCCAACATGTGTGGACTTCCCCCACGAGAGGCTGAGCTCGCTCTCAGCCCAAGCCTCAACACAGGGTAGCCGGTCTGGAGCTGAGAAAGGGCTCACAAAAACGTTTCTGTCAAACCAGAGGTCCTCTGAGACGGCAGCAGCCTGATGGCTCCTTTATGGGTGAGAGCATGGACCCAGCATGAGCTGGGCAGGGCACCATGCAGCCTCCTCCACGCTTCGTGCTTAATCCTGGCAGGTTCTTGGGAAGGAAACAGAGCCCCGAAGCTCCAGCTTGAACCCATGGAAAACCAAACAATGGCAAAGCAAGTCTTACAAAGATGCTTTTGGTATGGGTTGCTGGCCCTTTTTTTTCCTCCTCCTTTCTCTTTTCTTTTTTTTTTTTTTATATTGAGGATGTATCTTTTACTGTTACAGAGGTTAAGTGCTTTCTAATTTATTTATTGTTCTGCGCTTAGTCTTTCTTTCCTGAAAATTTTGGGCTTGTAAATTTAATAAAGAGTTATAAACATAATAATAACAGCAGTAATTACAGATGTCTTGAGGATCTAAAGGCTGTAATCTTCAGAGTCCAAGACTAGGATTCCCCCTTTCTTGTTGCTGTACAGTTACTAAGAAAATAATTAGTTGGAAGAATCCTACGATGGGGAACAAAAAGATATGAAATGTATTCATCCTTCCAGCAAATCTGAGCAACAGCTTAAAAAAAAAATATGAAGGGGACTAAGTGCAGAGCCAAGCAAATACCAATTATTTTTAGGAGTTTCTATTTACACTTTGACCATAAAAAGAGAGCAACCTGGAAACTCTGCATCAGCACGCCATTTCCTTTTTCAGCTATGGAAAAAATGTGAGTAAATCCCCATTTCCCTGCACAAGAGAGTGCGGAGCTACCTGTTCAGAGCAAGTGGAAAGCACAAGCACACAACACACATGCTGGCAGAGAATTAAGAGGAAGATTGCACTCAAAGCTCCTCCAGCAACTTAATCTAAATATTAAACTTATTTCCTTGAGAGGTTTAATTACAGCCCTTATTGCTGCTCAAATGATCACTGAATGGGATATTACTCCCGTTATTAGCATTTATTACAGGATAGATATTAGATATTACTGTATTTGTCACTATCTTTACCAGAGCGTGCCAGTGAATGAGGATGAGTGGGAAGCCGGCGACAAGAAATCTTCTTGGGCTCAGGTTACGCCCACTGCACTGTGAGGAAATGTGTGTGTATATATGGGAAGCACTTCTGAGGAACTCTGCTTGGTTGTTGACTCACATCCTGATCTGTGCCAGTTCCCATGGTACCGACCCAGCAAGCCTCCCCAACAGGACGAGCTGCAAGCGGTGCTTCATCCCTGCTCGCAGACCCGGAGCTGGGACATGTCATCTGTGGGCCAAGGGGCAACAAGAGGTCCCTCCCAAAGAGAGGGCTGTGCTGAACAGCACACACATCAAGGCTTCAACCTGTAAGCCAAAATCCCATCTGACTAGGCAGACTTTTCAAACCCAACTGTGCGGATTGCAGAGGACAGTCTGTACGTAAATGGAGACACGCGGTGTGCTAGCAGAGGAGGAGCTGCTTTTTCTGTTAGCGAGCTCCTAGAAGTATTGCAACAGAGGTGCTGATACCAACCGTGGCACAAGGCTCGTTTTTGTTAATTCTCCTTCCCAAGTCTGTTAGGAGCACGACAGGGATTCCCTGGGGGCCTGGATCCCAGGCAGAGCCATCTCTATCTCAGTTTTATTACTGAGTAATTAAAAAGGCAAAAAAGACGGTGGATAGCAGTGGTAAGGTTTCGATGAGTCACTCCTCTTTTCTCGTATGCATATTGCTACAATAAATCCCTTACATAGTTTTTGTAGATGCTACGTAAGTTAATAAATAGAGACACTTAAAACTAAGCTGGCCCTTCTCCTTCCAGGCAAGAGACGCATTCATCCCCTGTCTTGCAGGCATCCTGGCCATTTAAACTCCTATTGTGCAAGTCACTACTCCACAATAGCATGCCACTTTCTACCCCAGAATTTGAGATGCATGCCTAAATACTTGATGCGAGAACTCTTCTGGAACACGATACTATCAATTTCTTGAGACTGAATTTTAGCTGAACGTCAGTGAAATCTAGCTGACCCATCAGTGAAATTCTGCTTTACAAAACTGGGGCGTCATCTTCTAACAACTGCATGTCACAGAAGGGTCACCAACTTCATCAGCACACATTTAGCATTATAAGCTGAAAGAAGAGTCCATCTGTTGTCAGTAGAGACGGAGCCCTTCAGGCTTAAATAGGCATTAAGTACAATATATAAAATGAGTACAGTGGAACAAAGCTTCTTCACACACACATGCACAGACAAAAAAAAATAATATAAAAATCACACAGCTTTCTCCTAATACGGATAGTCAAAATTACTTTGAGAATTCTGGAATCAACACTGATTAATTTTGGCACCTGAAGTACCTTGTTGCATTCACTATTTCTTGGGATGGGAGAATAAGGAGTTAATAAAGGCAAACTTGGGTCTCTTCAGGCCCACACAGGACAATTAATTATACCTCCTACTGATTAAAAAATAAATTAGAAAAGTAATCAGTCATACTGAATCAGAATCATTAGGACACACCCACAGTCCAGTTAGTATTGCTGAATTTTACCCACACTCATTTGCACCAAATAAAATACAGCTTCAAAGGTTAACACTTTTCAAGATCCCTTCAAGTAGATCACAATGAATCTGAAATGTTGCTGCGTTAAATATAAGACTCTGCTGGGTGATGCTGGGGATGCTTGAAGAAGCTGCACTGATGCTGCATGTATCTTGGTTAGAAAAGAAAAGACTTCAAACAAAGCAAAAAAGTCTCGCTTCCTTCCCCACTCACCCCCCACCCTCATGCCTTCCGTTATCTTACCCCACCATTTCAGGAAACAAACAATGGTGATTTAGGCTCCACATACCATGTGCATCAAAGAATTCATCATCTGAGCTGTCATCTGAATCTCTGGCAATGCTCTGCATCCTCCACTCAGAGATACTATGGCGTGAGGGACTTGCTGGAAAAAACAAAAAAGCCTTATGCGATACGCTACATCGACAAGACGGAGAGTTCCCAACATGATCTTTGCTGGAGGAAGAGTCGTGTGTTCTCTATGAAAATTCACTGCTGCAATATTAAAAAACACAAAACCCCGATGATGCTGGTGTGATGTCAGTGTACCGCTTTACAGATCCTGTTTGTTTACTGTTCTTAGAACCTGCCAGCAAGATGTTGCATTAAAGCAAGCTGTTTGTATCACTCTTATGCTATTCTGAATGGCAGCTATTTATAATTGTTAGTAGGACGTGCAAAATCAGCTGCGTTTTAAAGTTTGCAATTAGGAAGGAAGCAGGCTGATTGGAAGCTTTCTTCATGTCTCTAATCAGCACACAAACCATGCCTCTGCTTCGCTAACTTTTGGGTGGGTAGCTAAGCAGAGCAGCCTGGATAGAAATAATCTGTTTTCTGGAAGGAAATTGCTTCCACACAAATTGGATTAGAGATCTATTTAAACTTTAAACTTGAATGATTTAAACAACATGCTATCCAACTACTTCACAGGGAGCTGTCAGAGCGGCTGTCCTGATGGAGCGAGGAGAAAACCCAACAGTCATTTTGGTTCCTGTTTGCCCTCCTGTTCTCACACCTATCTGCTCCCTTTCGTTTTCCCCTCCAGAGTTCCCTGCGCTAAGTATAAACATGTTATGGTGCTTTTCTTTTTTTTTTTTTTTTTTTTGATATAATATAGCAATGATCCAGCCTGAACTTTTCTTGGCTGAACTTGTTACGGAACAGCTGTCTGCTGAAGGGAGCACTGTCCAGAGAATGACGAGAGAGAGGGTTTCTCCCCTCTTTCAGATGGCTCTTGCATGTCACACAGCACGCACAAAGCACTTGCAGCAGGCACCTAACCTAACACAGCAAGAACCTGAGGAGACTAACAAATTCTCATTTAGCATATACAAAGACGCTGAAAGGCTCTGGTTACTGTGACAGCTGCACAAGCTGTTTCATGCTATTGTTTTAACAGTGTTAAATATTTAAGTAAAATTCTTCTAATTTTGCTACCCGGTTGTCACATGGAAAGGGGATGGAGACCCTTCGCAGAGTCATCTAATTGCAGCTCAGCATTGGCTCAGCAACCCCCAGCTACCCCACCGCCCACCCCTTAGGGAGCCGCAAGCAAGGAGGTTGGCAGAGCAGAGCTAATTCACGCTGGAGTGACGTCAAGGCACTCGCATAATAGTTGCTAAAAATAGAGCATATAATAACATATGGGATGGTGACAAGGGTCCCGCTATCACCAGAGGTCTCGCTCAGATGGTATAGAAAGGACCAAGATCTTTTGGAGAAAAGGCATTGCTTTTTTCAGCTGGAGGTAGTGGTAAGTGGAGACAGCCCTCCTTGCTTCCATGTGTTAATATGCTGCCAGCATGAAGAAGGATTAAAATATCTGCATGACGTACTTCCCAGCACATCACAATTCATTTCTTTCATTACTTTTTCTTGTAAAAGCTAAAACATTCTGCAGTTTAAAAGAAATTCATGCTTTGCTACCAGTGAACACCTTCAAGTGAAATCCTAAGAGGTCTGAAAACTACAGCTTCCAATGAACATGTCAGCAGTGGAAGAGGGGGTTCATAACAAAGAGCATAATGAGAGATGGGCACATCAGTATAAAATCCTAGTGCAAGCGAAGTAGACAGCATTTTTAGCTTTATACAGTGATTTATGAAGCATCTGGTAGGTTCTTCCCTGGGGCTCACTCTAGTGAGTCATTGCAAGGTAAAACTACTGCTCATCTCTCGTTCACCCCATGATGAAATCAGTGATGGAGTGCTAAATAAAAATGGAGACTCAACTCACAATATTTAGTGCATATGAGAGATGGAGAAGCTTCACTCACCTAGGTGTCCCCTTCTACCGCCAGTGGAAGAAATGCTGCCCCTTGGGGTTTTCAAAAAAAAAAAAAAAATCAAGATTTTTTTGCCCTCTTGCTGGAGAGCTATTACCCTGCTATCAGCTGCGCTTGGCTAAAAGGAGAGGGAATTGCTGAGGGCTCAAGCCTTCTGTCTGTAACTCGCTGGGGATTCACCCCTTTGTACAGAATGGTCCAAGAAAGGGAAGAGTTTAACACAGCAAAAAAACTGCGACTGCCTAGGGAGAGGTGAGTGACAAAATTCAGGACTCAATGCCGAGTCCTTACAGGGTATCCACAGGGGGGCTTTGACAACAAAATCCTGAAAGCTTCCTGAATCATATTCAAAAGGGAATATAAACGTGATCCATGGTCCCACCTAATCCCAGGCTGTGAGATTTGGTCTCTGAACAGCTACCGCACATCATCACCAGTGGAAGGCAGCAGCCCTCACCCACTTTTTTGGGCGTACCTGCCTTAATATCCCCAGGAGCTAACGTGGGTGCTTTGCTGTGTGAGCGACACTGCAGTACCCAGGGAGCCAAACACCCACTTTTGAAATGAATGGTGTGTAGCAGCGTATAAGCCTAGCCAAGGAGCACAGGGTGCCTGCTGTAGCTGTCTCCTGCAAAACGAGAGGCAGTTAACAGCGACCCACAGCCTGGCCAGTTCTGTGACACAGCAGACAAGCCGACATCCAGAAAGGGAACACAGCTGAAAGACCAGGCCTTACAAAAGCCACCAATGGCTCTCGGGTAACAGGGACTAACTGTCTCTGCACTGCTGTTTGTCTTCTTCTGAGACCCAATGCTGCTAGCCAGTTGCTGCCTGCTTCTTCTACTGTTTTTCCATAGCTTCTCTGCTTTTGAGACTGGCAAGAATTCTGCCATGTGCCACCGAGTCAGTTATGGGATGACTACAAACATTCCCAAACCTGTAACAGGTCACCTGAGAAGACTGAGCCTGCAACACCAGGAGAGAACGTCTCCGAGTTAAAAGCACTCACAGGAGAAATATGTATAGTCCCAAAGGTGCCAGCCACAAGGAGACATGGTCCTACCTCCCTAAAGGCAAACCTCCATGCAGTTCAGAAGAGAAAGTCACCAGCAGCATCTTACCTCCCCTCTTTGAAGATCGTGAGGATTTGGAAGAGGTGGACCACTGCTTGGTGAGCGATCTCCCAGAGGCTGTTTCGCTGTTACCAGTGGCATCCTCTGTGTCAACAGGTGAAACTGTGTTGGCTTCAATATCCTTCTCACCAGGAGTGTCTTTGACACCATGCTGCTCAGTATCATTTTCACCACAGAACTGGGCCATCTTCTGAGCCAGCATCAGCTGTGCCTCCTTCTCCAGCTGCCGGATATCCTCAATGGTGAGCCCATACCATTCGTCCTGCCAGCACCAAGCCTGCCGATGGGCACGGACCATGACCTTCCGCAAGCCTGCAAAGCCAGAATGCCCCTGTCAGCAGTGCTACAAACTGCAGGAATCGATGCATCCCCTTCCCCAAAACCTCAAGACACTGTAGCAAGGATATTACAGTGGCATCAAAACCACAACGCCACAAGCTGCAGTAAAGGACCTTCATATGGCAAGCATCAGGATGGCAAATTGGTCACTTCATGTACTTTAACTCTTCAACTCCTGCTAACCAACCATGCACTGAAAAATTAGCTAGTCTTCTGTGACTGCTTTTAACTTGGGAAGGGATTTCCTAATCCTGGATGGAGGACTTTGCTCTGTGACTGCCTGCTCCACCAAGGAGGAGCCATGCACAGACCACAATTGCAACTCCCAAGAAGTTCTGGGACGTTGTAACACTTGAATCCGGCCTTCAAAGTGAAGTATGTTCCCAGAAGAGAAAAAAAAGAAAAAAGGCAACATCAGCAACAAAAATCACTGATTTTTTTTTTTATCCAGGAGAGTTTCAAGTGGTTCCTTGATGAACACTACATAGCCCACTGCAATTGTTACATGATGGAAGCACATCCCACATCAGCATTGCTAAGACTAAAACCTCTCCTTTCCTTGGAAACCTGGTTTTTGTACCTGGTTTCTATATATCAGCGAAACAGCATCACAGATATGAGCTTCTGAGATAATGGGATGGGAAGGAAAGCAAGGGAGGGAATAAAGATGCTTCGTTTTGCAGATACCATCTGTCTTCTGCTGCATGAGAAAAATGAAGTGGGTAAAGCCAATTGAAAATATTTCAATGTATCACATATCTGAAAGGAAGAACTGCCTCAGTATCAACACACAATGCTCCTGACCAGGCAACAGAAACTTTCCTCAAGACTTTAACTTGTCGGCTAACATCGTCATGCCACCAAGACTTTTAAAACTGTATAGTCACTCAGGATTTTCAACCAGTATTATTGCTTAAAAGCTCACAACCAGTCAAAAGCTCCAAACTGCTATGTATTACTGATGGGAACACACAGCAATAATGGTGCTTTTAAAAGCTTCTATAAATACTGACAAACTAATCCTCAGGAGCCCTTCTGAAAAAAAAAAATTAAAAAAGAAAAAAAATAATCAATTAATATTGTCCCCCCTTTAATTACTGGGAAACTGAGTCAGAGGTGAGTTGAAAACATGCCAAAAGCAGCAGTGGGAATTATAGTCAGTGGGATTATGGATCCACAACCCTCTGTTGCTAAGCCTGGAGCAGAAACATACTGTGCCAAAAAGCTGGCAGGCAGGGTAACTGCCCTCTCACCCTAATGAAGACCCTGGCTGAAGACCATAGACCACACCACCACCACTGCTATTACAAGATAGAAAGCAATCAATGGGCTACACGAAAATCAGTTAGGTTTTGGGAGCTGCAGATCAAGCTCTCTAAGCACCACCAAGAGGAAAGATGGTCCTTGTAAGCCACCCTCCATTTCCAGGAGCATGGCCAAAGCTGGATGGCCCCACTGCACGCAGGGTTTCTAAGGTGTTTCCAGCAACATGTGCTTCACTGTTGTACAGAAAATCTTAGATCTCACTACTGTCACAGTTTCCGTGATGTTCAGCCTAAACAGCCCTTTTGTTTTTAGCAATCACTTTTTTTTGTTTTATAAACATATAAAAAGCTTATTTTTATATGTTTTATTTCCTTCCAGGTCTGGGCACTTCATTGTTTGCTCTGCTCTTCAGTTAGTTCTTAACGTCACCAGCCATCACAAGTCAACCTATCAGGAGGAAATAGCCATTGAGATCGGCAGCTAATGCAATGGACCAGCTCAACCTGAACTTCACTTGCACAGTAAGATTAAATCTACCAATATTTTATATATTTCTCTGCCTGACTTTCAGAAGGGAGCTCCACATAGGAGAGGCAAGTTTGAGCCAGCAGACTGTGACCTTCTGGGAGCAGAACAAGGGGCCTCAGCAACTTAATTCTGTTCAGCCTTAGTCAAGATTCAGAGTTATTTCCCCCACCAGATTACTTTTTGCAGAACTACAGGAGAATGTTTTAGCCTCTTCACCTCCCGTTATGATTGACAATCAGCAGAGCTTGAAGACAAAGATTAAACTCCCATCACATCCACAACTGAAAGCCAAGAAAACGTTTCCCTTGCTGTAATTCAGTCCCCAACACCACAGCTATCCTTTGGACTTCTACATCTCCAACGTTCACTTCTACCTTGCTTGAAACACCTTGAAAACAGACTGTGATCAGACACAGAAGCAAACAGCCCCCTGGCTCTCATCCCAAGGCTTCCTCTGTTCCAGGGCTCAGCAGCCTCCACTCACGCTCCTGGATCCAAGCCTTGACGTATCAATGCACCAACTCCTCGGTAATTCTCTCTGTAAAGGCACAGATGCCACTGATCACGTATCTTTGTTTTAATAGGCTAACATCATAGGGAACATGAAAACCACTTGGGGGTAAAAAAAAAAGTCTCCTGAAGCTCCCCTCTGCCTTCTTTCACTTCATCTCTTAGACCACAAAAATCGCCTGTATTGCTTCCTCGCAACCCACAGACCTCCCCACCTGCACTGCTCACATCATTTTGATTAGACATCCCAAATCACCCTTCCTTAAAGCCTTGTTCTTTTGAAAACAGAATAGCATTACAGGGCTTCATGACTGTTGTGCCTCTATCGCTCCAGATTAGTTATGAAGTCAAAAAGACTGAGATTATTTTCCTAGCCTCTGGCATTCACCTGGGATGTGTCAGTGATGCTACATTTCTCCTTCTTAAACACAGAGGAAAAAACCTGGAAGAGAATGAGGCTGTCCAGGTACAAAAGAAGTTGAAAAACAGAAGTCATGGTTTGCAGAAAAAATGTTCACTGCTAGGGATGGAAAACTTGACCAGTTCCTCAGCGCACAGCAGTAAGTATATCACTGAATTAATCTTCCACCTACAGTGCTGAAGTCTTCCAGTAGGCAGCAGAGACCCAGAAGACACACTGAGTGCCCCCACGCAAGTATATGGATTCAAGGTCCAGCTACAAATGACTGACTACCTGTCCAGAGACTGCTTCCCTCCCTGTGCAATGGAAAAAATCAAGACTTAAAGCATTTTTAAATCAAAATGCTAAGAGAAAAACAAGCTTTTTATTTGAAAAGTGAAAAGGAGAGAACAGATCAGACCCAGGAAACACAGTGTAATTGGGAAAAATTCTCTTTTGAACACATCAGAGATGCCCATCAGGACAGTGCTGAAGGCATCTGTGGTCCAGCTCGCTTTCATTTTTCTCTCTGTCAGGAGGGGAGGTGCAAAAGTCTCCTGCTCAGCCTGAGAAGTCCCTGTCCCGCACTCAACTCCACACACTGTGCTTTCAAGCCATGCCTCACAGCCAGCTGCAGCCCATTTGGCAGTTTGTCTTGCAAGCCTGTGGCATGCTGCCCCCAGGTAGCAGGAGCTGGCCGGGCAGGACAGGCTGGGTACAGCATCCCACCCAGTCACCTTATTCCAGGTCGGACAGAACGCAACAAGACAGACCAGTGGAGGTGAGGCTTTGGGCAATGCAATGCTCCTCCATCCCCCCTGCCACCACCCACAGAGCAAACCAACCCAGCAGTATGGAAGAACTGCAGAGTAGGAGATGGTCTCACAAAGAGGTGTCTCTGGTGTGAAGAGAGAACTGAGCGGCACAGGAGAATCAGGGAGGATTTTTAGAGTAGGCTTTCCCCCTCCACCCAGCGTGCACCATGTTCATCTGAGCCTTCTTTCCCAGAACCAGAGGATTACCCCACAGTCTCAGCAGGCAAATCACACACTGAAGTCAATCAGAAATAATGGGAACAGTTTTTTTTTTATAAGGATGCAGGTACCAGCTGATTTCAATAATATCAGTAGTTAACAAGACTACTATTTCTCTAGAGCACACAATGCTTTGGTTTAAAAAAAAACAACAACCACAAAACAACAAAAAAACCAAGGAAACCACACATGCACAAATGTATGCATGCAGATTGAGTTCAGAAGTACCCGTCATTGTTGCGTTGATTTAATTATAACATTTCCCACGGCGTTGTACAGAAAGATCATCTGTGAAGTGTCTAGCAGGGTGCAAACATTTAAATCTCTTGCCTTTCAACTCACCACCTCAACAACTCAGAGACTGAATCCATGAGGTGCTGACTGTTGTAAATGATTTGCCTGCAGATTGTGGTGTTGAACTTAATCTTACAAAAGGAAGTATAAATGACCATGAGACAAGCCAGGACAGAGAGGACTCTTTAGCTGAATTTAAAAAGCTTTTGTCTATATTTCTGGGTTTGTTTTTCAATATGAAGTAAAAACAGTAAATGTGACAAAAACTCAGTGCAAAAACCCAAAACAAATCAAAAAACCCACCACCGAATCCTGCTCCAAACACCCTCAACTATCATATAAAGCAACTGTTCAGACAGCCATCGACTACGTACCCAGCGGCAACATCCCAAAGCATTTTATAATGCACTCTCACAATTTCCTGGCAGCAGATAAAAGATGCCTGATTTTCCCTGTGCAACACTATTTCCTTGATAGTCACAACAGATCCCATAACTTTGTCAGTACACTTCTGGTTGTCTGAATGTATCCGATCAAAGGCAACCTGCAGTTATATCTGCTTGCTTCCCTACCCTCCCTTGCTCAGACCACTCACAAAGAAAAGCCTGTGGTCACATCCACATCATGCTAACTGCAACCTGCCTACCCTTGAAAAGACAAAACTCTACCTGCAGGCCCCAACCCGCAGTGCCCTTCTGGATGAACTTTCTCACCTGAGTGCTTTAAAGAAGCAGAAACTCTGCAAAAGAGCTTTCTAAAACCACTTCCACTTCATCACTGTGCAACAATTTGGGCACATTTGGCCTAAGGCGCAGTGGCTTAGACAAAGCTCCAGCTATTGGGATGGGAACATGCTTTGCCATAGTATATAATCAATAACCCATACACAGTCAACACACTTGTATAACAACAAAAGAATCATAACCCACGTGCACCATTAGGAAGCAAGTGGGAGCAGAACATTACGCATCGCCAGTCCAATTAAACTTAAATTCTATGGGAAAGGAGTAAAAAAGCACACAAATATTACAGCCAAGTAGACTAATAGCCCACAATTTTAGTCTGTGTCTCAGGCTGTCAAAGCACTGAGTAACTGTCCAATTAGTCATCAGAAAAAATGGCTACTGCACTCAGTAAGACTGAGAATGTTTCAACACCATCCCCCAGAGTTACTCCCTCTGCGCTCAGTAGTCTTTCTACGTATCATAATCCATCCATCATTTAACTCAGATGGGTTCTTCTTTCAACTCATTCTCTAATTTTAGTTTGCACCACTAAGTACCGCTCTCCTCCTTGGGCAGAGTTTGGATCCCGCTCTTGGTTTCTGCCTCTGTTTTCTCACTGGCTTGGCGGCCCTGCACAGAGCGGGCTAATTTCCCAAGAAACAAATTTGCAGGAGCTGGGAACAGAGGAACCAAGAGAAAAATGCCAAGGAGGGACTGGCCCACAAGAACATCTCTGGCACCTGAGAGCTTGGGTCCACCATCAGCTGCACAATGCACAAAGGTCTCCATCTGCTTTCAGTCACCAGTTGAAACCCCAAAACTGGGATCAGCATATAAGCTTGGTCAGTCATGTTGTAGCCCACATCTTTCCAACTTAAACATCCTCATAGCTTGCTTCCAACTTAAACAACCTCATACCTTGCTGTCTCTGGTACACGTGCTGTGGCACTTTTCCCACTCACTAATGGCTTCCCCATGGCTATCCCATGGCAGGGGAAGGCTACACATCTGTAGATATCCAAAGCTTTTGCTTTCACTTTTCACTCACTCAACTTTGTCTTGCCTTAAAGACTTTTTTGATTTTATGCATCTTAACCACTTTGAAAAACAGTATTTGCCATCATTATAACAGAGTGGAAACGCTTTTGAAAGGCAGACAATGAGCTGGCTCGGCTCTCTGCAAAGCCTCAATCAAGAGGAAAATGGCAGGCAATCTTTCATGAAATACAAAAGAAACGTTTCTAAGGGACCACAGTCTAATCTAAGCCAAACACCTCCGAACAACTGGAAGAGTCACATGCTTCTTTTTCATTTAACAGATACAATGGAGTTGTTATTCTGCCCCCATGTTTTGCAGTATATACTAAATTAACCCATGTCACTGAAATGCCAAGGGAGTTCATTGCAGAGAGCCACTTGTAATACAGTCTATAACAGGTGAAAACTTCCATCTGGGGGTAAAGTAAAACCAAAGGAGCTTTAAGAAAGCAACCTGTGACTATTCAGAGAGTGGTGCACACCATTCTCTGCTGCTCTATCAGTGTTTTCCACATTAGCTCTCAGGAGCACAGTATGACTGAAAAGAACTATAAAATTACTGACTTAGGCTAGCATCAGGCACTTCAAAGAAGTTTTGCATATAGAAAGGACAGCTGTAGTGGTCATGTAGGAGGATTTACTGTGTACAGAAAGCAGGCAGTATCCTTTACACAGCCTTTCTTTGGTCTTTTCTGTGCCAGAGGACAGCCATAGCTCTGCACTTTTTTTGAGATAGGATTGCTTCTTTAAAAAATTCTTTAGGTTTTCCACCTGGCCACAGATCCTGTCCCTCCAGGCAAGGCGCAGAAACTCTTATTGGTTGTGTTATAGATTTTCTGCAAAGAACAAATTACTGCCAGCACTGCTACCACCTGCACTGTCTCCACTTAGTTACTTCTGGGACAGAAACAATACCTCCTTAAAAGCACTGACTAAGAATGATGCGTCAAAGCAGCACCTTTACTCAGAATTGAGAGCTGTCAATGACCCGTGATAGATCATAGCACAGTGAAGTGGGGAGCCCTGAACAGCGCAGCCTGGGGGACAGAGATGTATGGTCCCACAGAGACCCACTAGCCCTGTCACAAGGCAGGCAGAAACTAGGGACCCTCCAGGGAGTGGTTTTCTGGAACCACTTAGGACTCAGAAGTGAAGCTTATTTCTTTGAGCAGCCCTTCAGGATTTTGTTCACAATAAAGAAAACTGGCAGATTTTGAAAATGATCTGGCGAAGTTTAACAGACAAATCCTTATCTAAAAAAAAAAGAGAATGCAAGATCTTGCCTAGACAGGACTTGAAAACCTTTCAGTGGCTACATGTGGTCTGGATTCATACATACCATGATTATAAGTGATAGAATAACAGGATTTTTTCTGAACTGACCCACAGCTCTGCAAGAGAGTAATCAGATCTGAGAATCTCTTCACAGACATGTCTTGGGATATGATACATTGCACATACCTCACTTTTGTGTTTCAATTCAGAAACAACATTAGGGAGTTGACAGTGAATTTTCCAAGACTATAAATGCTCACCAACATCATGGATAAACCGCTCGATTTTCGACTGCATCCCCCAGTATCTGAACTCGACTTTACACAGTTTATATGCACACATGATGGGGTATTTTCCAGGGTTGTTCTTGTACTCTTGAATCCAGTCTTCTGAGAGGGGGCCTCTTTTAGTCTTCACTGATTTATATAGCTTTGGATCCTCCTCAGCTTTGTATTCATGTGGAGGGATAGGATCTTTAACAATATCAATAGGATCTATAGAAAGAGAATAGAAACAGTTAGACATTTCCTTTTCCTGAACAAAAGAAGAAAATACCATTTTTCAGGAGTTATTTCTGTTTTAGTAAGTACCAGAAGCATTACAGCAATTTAGTTTCTTTTTACTTACACTTAAACAACTGATATTTAAATTGTTTATACATTGCTGCTGGACAGTGATCAGCTCTGCCAGAGGAACTAGTACACACAGTTCCAGCAAACAGAGGCTTTGCTCCAAATAGATGTTTTTGCCCACAGTGACTGCAGATTCACAGCACCCTGGCAGATCTGCACACTCCACCTTTCCAGCTCCAAAAAGATCTTTTGCACATTCCATCTTTCAGCTTTTCTAATATCATTCACAGTGCTGCAGCTCTATCTCATCTGAGACTGTTAAACAGACCTGCCCTTTCTTAGCACTGTTATGGAAAAGACACTACCCACTGAACATCTTATCTTTTGAGTCCATCAAGTGAGGTTACTGGTAGCTCCTTACATGCTATTGTTAGACCAGACTTACTATGGGAGGCAGAAAGTTTAACTCAGGTCCTAATTAACACTTCAACAATGGAGAAGTGGAAACTGCAATGGGAGCAGAGTGAATGAATGTATTTTAAAGATCTGCAGCCCCCACCCCAGACCTCAGCAGAAGCGTTTGAAGTTTGGATTGAAGGACAGGATTGCACTTCCCAAGAAACGACAGCTCTTCTGACACTTCTCAGTGAGGCAGCATGACTCAAGCCTATTTGCTCAGTACTGAAAGCCTGATCAGATAGCCTTAGGAACGAGGACAGTCACACTGAAGTTCAAAACAAAGAAGTTTAAATCTCTTAACACTCAAGTAAAATTGCACGGGGTTGCTGCCGTGTCCCGCACGCCAACAGTGCTCAAGCACAGCCAGCGCAGCTGCTAGATGTCCTTCCCCAGAGCTCCCACTGTGGCCAGCACCGCGTGGGACTGACAGAAGCCAGCCTGGGACTGACAGAAGTCAGCCTGAGCTCAACAATTCTCCAGTCCCAGCACCTTCAGAGCAAGGGATGCTCCAGTCCTGCGTGGTTGTAATTGCCAGCACTCCCTGCCACGCAGCCAGGTCTCCGGCAAGTGCCATGGCCACAGACCACGATGAACAGCAAGACAGAGGAATCACTATGACACTTGCCATTCTCTGCCTTTTTATAAGATGTTCCCTTTTGCCTTTTCTCATTAAATCCTTACATATATAAGGCTCATTAACCCAATCTTCTAAAGACAGCTGCAAAGCTGAAGTGTTAACCTGCATGAGGGCAAGACTAAAAGGACAGGAAGCAAAAATGAAATATGTCTTCATGTTTCAGAAGTGCAGATAGGAATGATTTTCATATATGCAAAGGAGTTACACAATTATAAAGCAATGCTTTCCTTTTCTATGGTTATTTCTACTTATTACCCCCAAAATCATTAGATGTCTTACTCCCCTTGGGGACAAGTAAGACAGGAAAGCATCAGCTTCAATTTACAGACAGCAAATTGAAATGATTTCTATGTGATTTACATCAAGCCTAGAGGAGAACTCAGGTCTCCTCTCTCTACTTGATGGAACCCCATCCTGCAGCCTGACAGTGACAGGAGTGCAGGTGTGTGTTTAGGGAGGGGATGGACAGGCAGATGGGACATACCAAGCCAAAAAAACCCCAAAACCAAAAACCAAACCAAAATAAGCAGAATAAAGGAAAAATAAAAGAAAAAGGCTATTCACCTAGAATGGTTTGTCTTTTTTCTGCAGGAGAAAGGTTGAACACGTTGACATGCTCTCCTGGATCAGTTTTGTAGTATGTTTCAATATCAATGGAGAACTTCTCCACAAAAGGACACGTATACCTGAAGGCGAGAACAATGCAGCTTAGAGTAAATCCCGCTCAGCTTGGCAAGCAGAGAAAATGCTTTCCTGAGATGTACAAAATCAGCCCCAAATCCAAGCCAGCCTTCACTCATGCTTTACTTCAGATATGCTTAAAATACCAACTGTATAGATTAAAGAGATTTTCTTTAATAACTTCTTAAGACAGGAGCTCACCTTGGGCATGTGGCTTCAGTGGAACAGCTCTGGTTTAGTAAAACCCCAAGCCCACAGCAAAGGGATGTACTCCTTATGAGGTCTTACATGGGTTACAAGTGAGAGGATACCAATGCACCCCACGCAGTTACTGGAGATCAGGCACCCACACTGACCAAGAAACAACTTCCCAGCTGGCAACAAGCAAGTAGAAAGCCTAAGGGGACCACCAAGTCATCTCACTTTGCAGAGACACTGACAAAAACCTGCAACTTAATTTGACAACGTCTCCTCCAGGATACTATTATCAGGACAGACTGTTTTTAAAGGAGCAGTTTTCAGCAAGGAGATAACTTTTGCGGCCGCTGTTCTAATATGTTATGACACAGATAATAATACAAGCACACCCTGGAAATGCACCTCTGCCAGCAGAAAATCAGAGCTCTTGCCTGGAATCTATGGCAGAATAAAATACGGACTAGTTCTGTGCAGTGCCAGGTTTCCTGGCCAACTGATTGACTCATGGGCATTTCAAAAGAATAGATAAAAAGACACTGGAAGTGGACTTTAGTCACTTGAAAGTCAGACAGCTCCATTATATTTAGTCATGAGCAACCACCTGACTCCCCACCTTTTCCCAGACTTATGTCACTTGTAGAGACCAGCTAAAACAGAACTATGAAACTTTTCTAGATTTTTGATAAAAATAAAAACATCCATTAAAGACTTTTTATTAGGAATGATGACAGCAATATCAGACTTGTAAGCCTCAAAAAGGGCAAATGCTCTAAACCAGAGCTATTTATAAAGGCTATTTATTCCAGGGTATCTGAAGTCCTCCCAGACAAAATCAGCTGGAACAAGTTGGTCCCAGAGGGCTCCACAGAGCCTCTGGTGCTCATCCCTTCTCAGGGTGAAAACCATAGGATGTAGGTTTGTTATTTTCTAGCTAAATGACAGTAAGACAGTTCCCAGAAAAGAAGCACCAGATTTATTTATTAAGATTTTTCTCTCCCAACACTTTCCCCCCTAGAACAAATGAACCCTGTCTTACTTGACAGTGTTCAACATGACAACTGTCCCATCACTGTGTACATTTATAACTTCACTGAGCTATCAGATATCTGCAATGTTAAGCAGAACATGCAGCACAGGACACAAGACTAAATAAAAACCATTCAAGATTTCCGACACTTTGATAGACAAAACAGCTCACATTTTAGAGCAACCAGCCACAAATTCTCAAGTACGTACGTAGTCAGCCCAGGCAACACTTGTACTCCTGAGATTAAGCACTGTGTAAGAATTTTTGAACTTGACCCCAGTTTCACTAAAGGATATTACTGGAGATGGAAGAGATGCCGCTGCCACACAGAGTGACATCAAGTCCTACCCCTAAAACAGGGAAACAGCTCTGGACATTTTGCTAAGTTCTACCTTGTCCTTGTGTAAGGATACGCATTCCACGATTCCTCTTCAACTCGCAGAGCTGCCTTGGGCAATATTGACCGAAACCAGCTGGGTATGTGCATACCAATGTGGTACACTTTGTGAGTATACTGCCCATTGCCTCCCGGTCCATCCATGTACGGCCTGTTCTCCAGGATCTCTACTCCACTGCCTTCCCCACATGTCTCCTCTCTGCTCTTTTTCTGAAAGGGAAAATATATCACATAGTTAATTCTTCCAGTGCATTGTACATACCAAGGTCTCAAAGGACATGAACATTGGGGATGTTTTCTAGGACTCCGTTTGAGCAGAGCTTCATATGGACAGCAGAACTGCAGCAGCACCCTGACAGTAAGACTACCAAACCTAGAGATTATAAATGAAAGATTTAGAGACTCATCTGGCCAACACAGGAACAGAGATTTTATTTATTAGGGATCCTGTAAAAATCTGCATTTGGACACTAAAAGACAGTTTGAATGGAGACCTAATGGCACATCAATTCCTGCTCCTCCAACAGGTTATACATCGCTCTTCCTGAGAGCACACTAAACCTTGGCTCTAGCTTTGAACCACCCAACAGCACAAAAATCTTTTGCATCAGCAGATGACACAGTGAAGGGGAGTATGTCCGACTTGGCACGTTCTTGTGGCGTTGTATCAGTGTGAAGAATCATACACACACTCAGCACAACATCACAGTACTAAAGACTATTTTATGACCTAAAGCCACAGGATTTGGGGGCTTGTTGCTTGTGGTCTGGCATGGCAGCAGCTCTCCAAGAACAGCTTGGAGACCATGCTCTGCTAATTAAGATACCTAGAAGAAACAACCCAAGTTTGCCAGAACGCACACAGCACCCCCTGGCAGCTTCCATATTTTGGCTTATTTGTAGTATTGTCGCTCATTGAGAAACCTGGCAAAAATTCCTTCAATAAAAAAAATACTAATTTCAGTGCTTCTGAGAAGAGCTAGAGGTAAACCAAATATTTATTCATTTCTGACACATTTCAGCAGATTGGATGATGTATAACCTTCACCATTTCCAAACAACCGATTCATAGTTAGTATTCTGAGTTTATTGTTTGTATTTGAGAGCACAATACTTTGGAAGTTAAGAAAAAAAAATGGAATTTTATACAAGAATCAACTGTGAAATATAACACAACAACAACTTCCCATTTTCAGCATACCAACAATTCAAAGGATAACATGGTTTAACAGAAAATGATTAATGAGATGCAAGAGATCAGCTTCTCATCTTTTGAGGACAGGATGATAAGCCAACACAGCCATTTAGAAGTAAATAGGCCTCTTTTTAAAGAGCTCTCAAGCAATTTTAAATTTAAGCAGCTGTAACTGACAAATCTAAATAACTGAGAATCTAAATAGTCATTTTTCTCTGCACCCCACAAACTGCAATAGTTCTGCAAAAGAAAAGCACTTTTTTACAGTTCATTTCTAACATTCAGCTGGCAGTTCATTAAAACACACATCCTCTTAAAACAAATTACTGTCTTTCAGTTCTTATATAAGCACTGACCAAGTCCTGTACAAATATTTATGACAATAACATTAAACAATCTTGATGACCCAAAAATCTGGTTAATTCAAAGGTCTCAGAAAAGGCAATAACCCAGCAGGCATAGCAAATGTGTCAGACAGAATAATAGCACAGCATCTGCTCTGAACAGTTGATACAAATTATGGAGATCTAGAGTTTTATTATAGGGCAGAAGCACATGGAAATCATAAGCAGAGGAAAGACAGGTTCTCTTCATGCCAAATTATCACATGTAGAATCGTACATCAGCTGCATTTAAAACTCCATTCTAGATTGCACGGCTACCAGCAATTCCCGTCAAATCTGCAAGCCCTCATTTGGGACCGAAACATGTTTAGGAGTTTCTCAATTTCAAAAGAAATCCACAGCACCAAGTGGACTCAGCATCTCCTATGACTGTGCCAAGCCGGACCTACACAAAACTGGGTCCCCAGATTTACAAACGCTTGTATTGAATTAGAAAACCAAAACACTGAAGATTTATTTTGTTTTAATAGCCATAGTTGATATGAAAATGGATAAAACCACTCTCTAGGCTTTCTTTCTCAGAATGCAATTTCATATTCTTCCTTTCAGAGCCACATCTGATGCCTGGCATTCCTCTTGCAGCTCTCCACCTCTTGAAGCTCTTCAGAGGGCTATGCAAGGGGCCAGCTGCTTCCATGAGCATAAGTTTGAAGGTTCAAGATCCTGTGCTGCCAATTCTGACTTCAGCTCCTATCAAACAGATCAGCAGCAGCCAGGGAGCTCTCCTGCAATATGTGTTCCCTTTTATTGAAGCCCCTAGCACCCCACCTTGCAATATCGTGTTACCCTGGCTTAATACAGTTCCCCCAAACCCTCTCTTTTCTTCTGTTGCATTTCCTAATGGATTGAAGATGGATCAAAGCAGGAGGTTTCTCCCCAACTTGATCCATTTGAGAAGACTAAAGACAAGCATTCAAAGCAAAGCCAGGCTCTGGCAGTCTCCTGAACTGTGACTTCTCCACGACAGAAGGATTCAGGCTGGGGTGGAACAGGACACAGACACTTGCCTATGCCCTCAGCCCCCAAACAGAACTGTTCTGATCCACGCCCGCATCAGTATTACCCATCTTTTGGGATGAAACATCCTTAGTCTCTGCATTGGTTTCAATTGAGGAATCTATCTTTTTTTATTTCAACACAAGAAGAAATGGTTTACATCTGAAGCAGTTCAGAAAAACAAACTCCGATTCCTTTGTAACTATGGGGCTGGATCCAGGCTCAGGAGGACCTCTGCTCAAACCTTTCTGGTTTGAAGCCCAGCAGTAGTGATATCCCAGACACATACAGCTAACGCTAACATTCTCCACTTTTCCTTCCCCTGTTTAGCCAGTTTTGACAAAAATCTCTCCACATGAAGATGAGCTGCCTGGTTCTCATTCTACAGCTAGAACCCTGGTGAACCTGCAAGACCGGCCACTTTTTGCTTTACATGAATACTTCTATAAGCAGCTTTTCCACATGACCTGGTAATGCTGACACTCAGCTTCTCAGACAGAGCTGTCTGATCATGGGAGATGTGACAGGTGGCACGGTGTTATGGTTGCAACACTTTGCGAGGGAAGGAAGAAGGGAAAAACCCAAATTAACTGAGACTTTGCAGAAGTCAGTTCGCATTCCACTTCTGATTTCTGATTATTGTATTCACTTCTCTGCACCTGCAGGAGACCGTGAACCCTATTCTGAGAGCGGGCATGCTTCCTCCTTCAGCCTTTCCAGATGACCAACTCCAGCCCACAGCCTCTTTCACCCAGTTACAAGCCTTAAGCAAATTTTGGCCTTACACATTCCTCCTGCTTGTCACTTATCTACATCAGATATGACAAGGGACAGCAAGAACATTTTCTTAGATGAATGTGAATTAGGAGCTGCACCTCTGCATGACAAAACAAAAACAAAAAAAATCAGAGCTGCAATGTTTATGTCCCAAACTATCTTTTCAGCCAGGACTTTTGAGTCAGGCCAATTTATACTCAAAACACAACGTAACTTATCACTGGGAAGGATAGCGTGACCAAAGAAAAACTCCACACAATAAACCTACACAAAGCTGCTTCCCAGCCCTGCATGGTCTCATACTTACTGGTTAGCTTGCTGAGAAGGCAACAGTGAGGTCAGGAAGGACCAAAAAAGCCAGGTTAGATGGTGAACAGTACAATTACTAACCAGTCACAAAGACAAAAAGAAGATACGTTTCTCAGACAATAAAAATAAAGACATCAGCTACATGCACTTGAGAGACCAGGATGATACTCTGCGCTTAAGTGGTACTGTGAAAGTACACCACTTACAGAAGTGAAGAGCAATTTGCTTTTCAACCATATAGCCTCTTCATGTCTATTGTGACTCAGCTACAGCATGGAGAGGGCTTGTTACAAGAAGTGGTCTGTAAACAACAATTAAAAAATAACCATTGATTAGGAAAGCATTTGGCTTGAAGTGTCTGGCAAGCCCTCTCCAAAGAATATCTGTCTGCTGGGAGTGGCAGATGTGCAGACATTTTAGGGTCAGTCTTGAAGGTTTCAGCCTCATAGACCCATACCCCTATGAGAACTAGAGACTTTATTTCGCAATTACCTGTGTTACTACTACTTGCTACTAACTGACAACAGTATCTTCCCTCTATATAAATATCTGAGGAATGGTCCCCACCAAAATCAAAGAGTAGCTAATAGCCTTTATATGCAAGTTATCTAAGCCGTAATCACAGTAAACCATCTTACATTGTACTACAACAGGAAACTCAGTTATCCCTTTAGAAGTCCCTCTCCTCTGCTGATGACACTCCATGTTCTGCACAGCCCCATCAATAGCTTTCCAGGACAGATGGTGACACAGATCCCTTCTAGCTAAAGTAATAGCATTAAATTACTCATAACAGGGAACCCAGAGAAGCAGATGCACCATGATTAGCAAGAATGCCAGTTACTTAAAGGCTTCTATTAAAATAAATCTCTTGGCACAGCAGCATAGCATGGGACACAGCACATGACCTCACCATAACAATCATAGATGAATAATTCCCATGAATGTCATCTAAACATTGGGCTAGCCTAACCCCATTTATCATCTGCCCTTCACAACAGGAGACAAACGGCTGCAATCAAAGCCTTCCACTAGCAAAGACAGGTTGATCAGTTCTCAGATCTTCCACCCCCTTTCCCAGTCAGAAATGTGCCTCACTACCAGCTAACAACACGGAGCACATCTTGCAAAGCCTTAGTCCAGCAAACTTGACCTGGCACAGCTGAGTGGGGCCAGGTGACTAAATGCAACTTGTACGTTTTTCTAGCGGGGTACAGCTCAGTAAAGGAATGATAGTTGCTGGCAACAGAAACCCCCACAACCTGGGGAGTCACACTGCAGCTGGAGGAAGAGCATTCACAGAACAAGAATGCATAATGCTGGATAAAACAGCTATGATACGCCTTATTGTATCAGCTGGAGAAATACAGAAGTCAGGCTGTGGAAATTAAACTTGCCTCGTAGTGTTTTGCTTCTGGTGAATTAGAAGAAAAAACAACCCCACCAACTAACGCAGCATTGCTCAGAAGAACACCAAGAAGAATGTTATCCTAAACCAACAGTCCTTCTCCTTGTGTTTCAGCCCCGAA